CTTGGTATATGTTTGTATGTTTGCATGTAACGATTTTAGCGGAATCTTCGGCGTATTTATGACTCACTTCAAAACGTCGAATTGAATTTAAAATCGACACACCCATCAAGGACCGGTAATAATAACATAATTTGATAGTTTAGTTCAATTATCCTGGAGAGGATCTTTAGAATGAGCGTTTTTTTTTCTCGAATTGAAGCTCCGCCACCATAACTTAAAATGTTCCGTCACCAAAAATTCAAATGTATCTACGTTTTAATTCCTTTGAATAACTTCTTACCGTTGACAATGGCATATGTTTTTGGATGTATGATACATTGATATGCATCATACAGGACGTGGAAAGAAATTCTGAATTGAGAAAACCTTATCACGAATCTGCGATTGAGGTCTAGAAAAATAAGTTTTTCTCCGATTGGCAGCAAATATTAATTTTGCTGACACATATCAATCAGCAAAGTATTACTTTTCCTGCCTAGGCAGCAAAGTGGTTACTTTGCTGATTGATATGTATCAGCAAAATTAATAATCCATAAGTCGTTGATAATTTCCTTCATATTTCATTCGAGACTTCTCCGGCAACAAATTTAGCTCTATATTTTTTGCCACCTCCCTTATTTCTGGAGGTGTGAGTACTTCCAGGTCGCTATCACTGTCCATTGTATAATAATTTAAATATACCGATATTTTTTCGCACAACTGTCAGAATTTTCATGAATTGTCAAACTATAATTATCATGGACAACTGCGATTTCTATCAAATTTCATTTTGATTGAACACTACAGGAAAAATAAAGAGATTGTGGGAATTGTAATAATTTGCAATTACAATATCGTCCTATATCATTATAATCGGAGACAAAATTATATGTTCAACTCGGCAGCAAGGTAGATTCACTGCCTTAGCTGGATTCCTAGCCTCGCTACGTTCGGCTATGAATTCAGCCTCGACAGTCAATCTACTACTTTGCTGCCTAGTTAAACAAATAACTATTCCATCGTTCAAGTTTGAACCTCTTGATATTCAACAGATATAATTCTTTAGAATGAGCGTTTTTTTTTCCTCGAAATGATGTTCCGCCACCATAATTCAAAATGTGCCGTCACCAAAAATTCGAATGTACGTTCTCATTCCTTCTAATAACTTCCTACAATGCTTTTTTTCTACAAGCGTGCGTGATTCACCCTATACCCGCACGCAATTTAGTTTGGAAAGTGTCATTTTCCCGCAACAGTGCGGGAAAATTTTCCCACACTAGTGCGGGAAATTTTTTCCCGCACTAGTGCGGGAAAACAAAGATATGGTAAAATCACTAGTAATGTAAGTGGTTGGTGATGAAATATAAAAGTTTAAGTTTGTTTGTTGCAGTATTAAGTATGTATGTTCAGAATCATCCATCAAATTGCACTATCAATTGTAAAAATTAAAAAATATTGAGAAATAAAAATTGATTATTATGAAAATCCCCCTATAGATTTGGATTGATCTGACGGAAAACGTCAACTTGTCTTGCCAATCAAACCTCAAATACCTCAAATGAGTTTGAAATTGTCGAAGTGACAGACACAGCGTTACTGTCATTTTAGATTCAGTGGAAATGCCACAATGTGATCAAAAACTTCTAGCTATAGGGATTTGATACAGATGCGTTATCACCAACGAAGTCTTAAGAAAGGTATGAGAAGCTATACACGCGTTTAATTGAATGGTGCAACAATAAAGAAATGAAAATACCGAATAAAGAATAAGTATTTTTGACTCATTTCATATTAAGAGACCAAACTCCTAATGGGCCTGCTGGCTTCCGCAATGAACCAACATAATGCGTCAAACTGCGTAAGTTCACAATAGCTATTACTAATAATTAATAGATAGAGAATATACAGGGTGTCAATTTGAAAACTTCCCACCCTCAATATCTCCCTCCAAGTCGATAATATGGAAAAACGAAAAGACAGGTCGATTTTATTTTCGAGGGGGACATGGTTCTAAAATATTTTCAGCCCCGCGGCGTTGCCGCTTCTAACGAAAAGAAGCAACAACTTTGTTATTTCAAATGGAACACTCTGTATTTTATTGCATTTTTAGATTCTCACTGAAAAGCTGATTTCATCAATGCATCACACTTGGGGTCTAGCAGGAATGATTACAGAGATATAGGGTGTTCAAAATCGAGATTTTACAACTTTAGGATTTTTTTGAGTCGAAACTATTCACTATTGGTCAAAACGGCTTTTATGTCCCTATCTCAACTTTTGATTTACTATCTACTGACATTTATTTGAAACAAATACAGGGTGATCAAAAGTCTGAATCTTGAACCACCCTGTATTTGTTTCAAATGAATGTCAGTAGATAGTGAATCAAAAGTTGAGATAGGGACATAAGAGCCGTTTCGACCAATAATGAATAGTTTCGACTCAAAAAAATCCTAGAGTTGTAAAATCTCGATTTTGAACACCCTATATCTCTGTAATCATTCCTGCTAGACCCCAAGTGTGATGCATTGATGAAATCAGCTTTTCAGTGAGAATCTAAAAATGCAATAAAATACAGGGTGTTCCATTTGAAATAACAAAGTTGTTGCTTCTTTTCGTTAGAAGCGGCAACGCCGCGGGGCTGAAAATATTTTAGAACCATGTCCCCCTCGAAAATAAAATCGACCTGTCTTTTCGTTTTTCCATATTATCGACTTGGAGGGAGATATTGAGGGTGGAAAGTTTTCAAATTGACACCCTGTATATCTCTTGTTAGTTGTTCCTATTTGCTTGAATAATTAATTGAACGATTCAATCAATTTCCTACGCTTGTAGGAAAATTACTATTATATCCAGACACGGCCAACTTCAAAACGTCGAAGTAAATTGAAACTTCACACACATGTCAAGAAGACCGATGACAAGAGCATACAATAGTTTTTAGTCTATTATTCTGATGGGGTTTTTGGAAATTAGTGATTTTTACCCCCAAAGACACACTGCAGTAACTTGCACTAAGTATACTCATATAATATGAAAATAGTTACATCCAAAGAGAGACGATACTGTTTTGTACCTAGTAGTCGTATGAAATTAGGTCTCCGGAAAGGGAGTCTGATAAACTGATATCACATCCAAGGAAGGAGTGGACTAGTTTTTTTTATCACTCGAATACCTTTCAATTTCATACTTTTTAAGAATTTTTTGATCGATTTTCAAGTGCTAAAATCATCAATAATGCCACGGTAATTCTCAAACAACTGCATTTACTTTCAAAAATATATTTATAACATAAAATATAACATTTATTATTAAACCACTTTGTACAAATAGGAATATGAATATTAGTATTACGCTGGTAATATTGGTTATACGTTGGATTCAAGACATAAATAGGCACTGTTGTCATTGTCAAAATATTACTTATTTCGCAAGCTTCACCAGTATAATATTTCTATTTAGATAAAGGAGTATCGTCTGAAGAATATGAAATTTCATACATGGTTTCTGAAATTCAGAAGTTGGTGAAACTTACGGAAAAAATAACATCCTTTAGCAACGTAATTGTCGACGGAGAACTTTGAAGTTACCTATACCGTTGATTGATATATTACGCTTACGCGTAAGCGTAATATATCAATCAACGCCTATACTGAGTGTAAGTATTAAAATGAGTGTGTTCTTGAGCTGCTACTGATATATATTTTAATGTTTCCATACTGGTTATATTACACTTCCATCTTCCATTAATAAACAATGAGGTAGGTTCCTTCATTCAATGCACTCTGGTGAAATATCACTCATATCAGTAAACTTATTATAGTCATCACAACCAATATGGGTAACATGGATGGCACACCATCGAACCGTTTGACGTCATAAGAATAATATAGTGGGGGCCTCAAATGATTACCAAAAGCAGAATCAATGAGATATACAAATGATTTCCAAAAGCAAAATCAATATTATACAGGGTGTTCCATTACTAATTAAAAATATTGCAACCAAAGAATCCCGAACTCAAAATATGAAGATTTAACCCAAATCACCTAGATGAAATATGTCTCCTGTCTGAGTTACAGGGCGTTTTATTCAAAAATTTAAAAATGTTTTTTGCCCAGTTCCTCAAAACTATTTGACGTATCACTTTCATATTTGGAGGGAAGTGTAGGTATTATGCACCCAACTAAATTATGTGAAATGAACTTTTCTAGCTATTTCCAGAGGCGTACGACAGGGGCAATCAACTGGTTGATCCCTCCCGAATTCTAAGCCACTGGCGGAATTGCAATTCTATCACAAATTTTCGATTCTCCAACAATTTTGACGTAGATATTGTACTCCTTCTCCATGGCGATAAAGTCATGTGCATTAATTTTGTCAATATTTTGGATCAATGGATTGTGTTCATCAATGAAATGAAACTTCAATCCATATTAACAATAAAAACAATTACATAACAGACAGGAGCTGTAACAGGGTGTTTAATTAAATGTAATATATTAAATAATTTAAAACGCCCTGTAACAGCTCCCGTCTGTTATGTTTTTATGTTAATATGGATTGAAGTTCCATTTGATTGATGAATGCAGTCCATTTATCCAAAATATCGACATTATTGATACACATTAAAATCGAAATAATTGTGCTGCTTCAAGTTTAACTTGAAAAATCTCGAAAAATAATGACTTTATCGCTATAAAGAAAGAGTACAATATTTACGAAGAAGGTATTGAAGAATCGAAAAATTCTGATAAAATTGCAATTCCGCCAGTGGCGTAGAATTTGGGAAGGATCAACCAGTCACTTGCCCCTGTCGTACGCCTCTGGTAATAGCTAGAGAAGTTCATTTCACATAATTCAATTGGATGTATAATACCTACACTTCCCTCCAAATATGAAAGTGATACGTCAAATAGTTTTGAAGAACTGGGTAAAAAACATTTCAAAATGTTTGACCCTGTAACTCAGACAGGAGACATATTTGATCTAGGTGATTTGGACTAAATGAAATGAAATATTTCCAATTGGTAATGAAACACCCTGTATACAGTGCTTTCGTAAAGTACTGGAAAAATTCAATGTTAGCCATCCTACCCGTTTCTGAGAAATATGTCCTGGAACAGGTCATACAGGGTGATCCACGTTTGAATAATGACTATATATATCAATCAATTTTCGCAATATCCATGGAACATTGAATTGGAAAATAACGGGTCTTCAACAATGATAGAAAACCAAGTGACAGATTACTATGCAACCAAGAATACATTCGTATCTCTTTAACGTGGGTGGAAAAGAAATGCCGCATCAAAAATGGTCTCTCCGACGAAATTTAATTTGGGATATTTGACTATGACATTGACCTCACGCTCTCGAAGCACCAACTTATGACCCCCATTTTTCAGATGTCATAACATGAATCAACTTTCCCCTGAAAACCACCTAATGGATATGTTTTTTGTATATCCCAACTCCGATATATTGAAAACCAACACCCCAGAAGTCGAAACTTCTGCGGGGTTAGGAAGAGCTAGACCTACAGATCATAGTGGATTTCGAACCACTTCTAGGGCGCCAATTTGCTGTTGAAGCCACAAACCACACATTCTCATGAAAAATGCTCACTCGATAGCCATCAGGTTCTGAAAGACAGCATCCTGGCATCGTGAACAGCTGTCTATAGCGATTTGAAACGCTTTAGACCCCTCGGACTTTCTGCCAAATATGGTGTAGCATCCCATTTAGAAATTAGGAATAAGCTTGTCCAGCTTCTAGAACAACAATGACCCCATCTTTTCTTTGGAATTTAGCACCTGTGCCTTGAATCCGTTTTTCCAATCTGCAACATACTTCACTGTTCTGACATTACCATCTTCTTCCGTGATAGCATACTCTCCGGTTATGACGTCACCTTTTCTCTCTTCTTTTTGGTACTTGATGTCGTGAGTCTTCTTGTCGTTGACAGCGTACCCAAATTTGTAATATATATTCTTGTCGTCTTCATAATCGTAATGATGATGATGGTCTGTAAAAAATACGTTTTTTAGGCAGTGGTGCTGAAAATCATGGTTTGCGAATAGTTTCAAGCCCTTGAAGTACTAATTCGTTGAAATTTTCATTAGTATCAGTTCCTACTCTGGAGTAAACGTAAAATATTTAGAAAGAGAAATCGTACCATTACTTTCTACTGATAATCGAATAAATATTTTTTTCTCTAAACGGCAGGGATAGTGGCTTCTTCCTGCCGCTTAACAGGCAGAAAAGGTGTAATTTTACTGCTTAGGCAGAAAATGGCTGCCTTGGCTGAATTCCTAGCCTCGCTACGGTCGGCTATGAACTATCAGCCGCGGCTGTCAATCTACTACTTTTCTGCCTAGTAAAACAAATAACTATTTTTGACTACCTTACCTTCATGTTCTTCTTTATTAGCCACTTTCATGTCCACTTCAGGGGACATCTTCATAGGACTGACTTGTTGGACACTGTTCATTTTTTTATCACCACTCATTTCCATCTTTGGGATTTCGGGTTTCTTTTCTTGCTGAAAATATATTTTCGAATAACTCATACAGATTACATAAAAAATATGTAGGAACAAGCCTACTTATACATATAATAAGCCAGAACAACGTGTGCTCATCGAGGAAACATGACCTGTCTCTCAATTCTGATTGGTCTGACTGCGTTCATCATGGATAGCGAATCACTCATTTATAATAAACGCTTTTTATGCTTCGTGAACGTGAATAGTCTAGCAAAATACCACTCTGTTCTGAATTTCTTCTCATATTTCTGTACTTCATTGTGAAGCAACATGATTATCTGGAACATTCATAACATCGTGATATTACACAGGAAGGAAGGAATGCTCGGAGTCATCTCCACAAATTTTAATGATATTGTTACATATTCATAAGGGACATGTTTCGGTCTTATTAAAGACCATCTTCAGCCTAATTCAGAGGTCTACAATACAAAAACAAATGATATTTGAGTGAAAGAATTACCTATAGTTCAATTCAAGGAACAGTAGCATCAAAATTTTTTTCAACTCCAAGTAAGTCAAGCACAAACTAGGTGATTCTTTCACTCAAATATTATTTGTTTTTGTATTGTAGACCTTTCAATTAGGCTGAAGATGGTCTTTTATAAGACCGAAACATGTCCCTCATGATTAAGTAACAATATCATTGAAATTTGTGGAGATGACTTCGAGCATTCCTTCCTTCCTGTGAAAAATTTCACTCCACTTTGAGCAATATGGACTTCTTCCAAAGATAATCGTGATATTACTTACTTATGACAATTCATTGTCAAAATCTGAAACAGGCTCCTTGTCCTGCACGATTGAAGATAAATTGTGGTGAATAAACTCAAAAAGTGAGCAAAAAGTGAGCAAAAGTTGAACAGTTTGATTCTTGTTGAAGTTCGTCTTTGGATATTGAGACATCTGCTTGTATAATCTCCCTTCCAATTCAAGTGTGTATATATAATTTGCTCACCTCTTTCTTCCCATCGTTTCCTCCAAGTTTACCGTTATCCTTTTCCATTCCCCCATCACGGTTTCCCATGCCTCCACTACTCATTTCAATTTTTTCACTAGCCATATTCATTCCTCCACTGCTCATTTCCATTTTTACAGCACCCATAACCATTCCCCCATTACTCATTTTCATTAATCCACTATCCATTTTCATTCCTCCATTACTCATCTTCATTCCTCCCATGGCCATCTTCATTTCACTACCCTTGTTCATTCCTCCATCACTTGACTTTATTCCTCCCATGCCCATCTTCATTTCCACTTTATCCATCCCCATTTCTTTGATACCCATCTCCATTCCTACATTACCACACCCGCCTTTCTGGGTACATTTCGATTGCTTCTGAGCTTGAGGGTAGGATAGTACTTTTGGCTTCTGCTGTGGCTTCACCCGCAAATCTCTGTGTGAATTCCCCAGCGGTTGCTGAAAGAAGTTAAGCCATTGGTTGTGGTTGTAGTCATGGTATTCTTGAGGAAAATATGGCGTGTAGAGCTTTTGGGTCTGATGGAGAAACGGATTGGAACAGTCGCATAGACAGCTGCAATGGACTTGCGTTGCTAACATACTGACCAAGCAGACAGTTATCTGAAAAACAAAATTTGAAAGAAGTTATTGATAGGATCAAGTGTTATCAGTCGCGCGCACATTTGGTAGATTTTTTTTATCGCTTGGAGCGCACGAAAGGGAATCCCTATAATGTTCAAAGAACATCGTGCGTTCCTAGGGAGGATAGGGACAGGAGGTAGGTATTGGATTTTTTTTTTAACTTTTGGAGATTATATGTTGTTGAGAATACTTCCACAGGCAATGAATTCCAGAGCCTAGCCGTTCTATGGATGAAGGAATCTTGATAAAGTGCTGTTCGACATCTTTCGAGGTTGACAACGAAAGGATGTGCTGACTGGGCTTGTCTAGTTCGTCTGATTGGTATTGCTAGTGAAGGGATGATAGCAGAGATTTCCGAAGAACATTTCCCGTGGAAGTATCGATAGAAAAGTGAAAGGTCGCCGACCTTTCTACGGTGTTCCAATGATGTCAAAGAGCGAGTGAGTGTGGCGTCACCCACCAGGCGAATGGCTCTTCTCTGGATGGAATCTAAGAGCATCAGCGTATTTTTGGTGCTGAACCCCATATGTGGGAACAGTATTCTAGAACAGGCCGTATCTGCGCTTTGTAGATCATGAGAAGCTGTTGAGGTGTAAAGTAGCTTTTCGCACGGAACAAGAATCCGAGTTTATTACAATATCGGGCATACTGAGTTCCGCCTTTCTAGAGAAAATGCAGGCTTGAGTTTTGGTGGCGTTGAATTCAACTAGGTTGTTTGTTCCCCAGGCTGTGATTTCAGCAAGATCTTCATTGACAGCATTGACCTGCCTGCGCCGTGAGTTCTTAGTATCCTGGGAAGAAATTGGAATTCTGGAAGAGAACGCAGTATGGAGGGTACTATCATCTGCAAAGCTGTGGATGGGGCAAGTTGTTACTCCCAACAGATCATTGATATGAAGCAGGAATAATGTTGATGCCAAAATTGATCCTTGTGGAACGCCGGAATTGATGCCAATGGTATCAGACGATACACCGTCCACCACCACGTGAAGCGATCTGCCTGAAAGAAAACTCGATAAGAGATGGCATAGCTGAGGTGGTAAGCCGTATGATGGTAGTTTGTGGAGGAGTCCTTCGTGCCAAACACAGACGAATGCTTTCGATATGTCCAACGCGACAGCTAGAGATTCCCCGTGTTTTCCTATTGAAGATTGCCATAAATGGGTGACGTAGGCAAGTATATCTCCAGTAGATCTTCGGTGGCGAAAGCCGTATTGTCGTCTATCATTGATGATTCCTGAGCAATCCAGATATTTGATAAGCTCAATATTGATGGCTTTCTCCATCACTTTGGAGATTACTGATAACAGGGCAATGGGCCTGTAGTCATCACTGACCAGCTATTAAATTTTTCTTTCAGGCTTCCTGATAGATTTTTTTTTTCAAAAACTAGTTCAATTCTTCGAGAATAAATAAGAAAATGTTGTTTTACCTACACTACAGGGTCATCTGACACGATGTGCATGCTACTTATGTTGTGACACCTATTATCCGTTGTTAAATTGATGAAACCACTATAGTATTGTTCTTCTTGAGATTTGTTAGGAATCTTTTCTTATGGAATTAGCGGTCTAGACAGGGTCTATATCAATGCATGGTTCATGGGGCTAGCAATCATTCAATTTGTTTAGTGAGTAACGTGATATTGCCTTATTTACAATCTGGATAATTTGCTTCTTCTATCTTTTCTTGTGCATGAAAGGGCGAATAGAGAGAGAAGGTAGGAATTGGATTTTTTAACCATAGTCCTTCTGAATGAGAACCTATAGTAGTCAAGGTATAACATTATAAGTTTACTGACCCAAAATATGTCAGATTCATATAAATTATTGAGATTCCTCCATAACTCGGTATAAAAAAAAATTCTGAATGCGCTCGCCGACGCCACTGTCTTCTTTCTCTCTGTAATATGGAATAAAATTAATTCCTTGGAGAGTGGGACACACCAAGACGGCATTTGTTTTATTTTTGCAATTCGAATGCATACGATCTTCACTTTCGATCAGTATATATCCACTAGTACCAACACATTCACTTATTGATATCTATCAATAATTATTTGTGGCGACAGATCAATACAATTTAAGATTAAATCACTGCCAAATGGGTACTATAATATCTAGAATATACAAGGTTGGGCATATATGGATAGAGACGCCGAATTTTTGACTAAACCAAAAGTAATTTTTTCAACCTACGGCCACACTATAGAAAGTAGGCAAGAGCAAACGAGATACTGCCTCAGTAAGTAGCTTTTTACGCACAGTAAGCACATCGCACAGTTTCCGTGTATTCCGGCAGTAGGTATGTCATGATCACGTAATCGCCGGCAACAGCGGATGACCAAACTTTTTCGATGTACTATACGTGGCAGTAGATAAAGTATAGTACGTAATGCGTATTTCGAAGCAATGGGCGTGTACACCTTAGTAGAACTTTTAACTCAAACCATGTTCATAATGATCCGTTCATTCATAAATAATGATTGACGACATAATTCGATCGAAAAATTACCTGAAATGTTTTATTTTTGGACATAAATAATAGTATCTTCTGAAAACGGACCCTCTTATGACGTAGAAACCTCATCTCGCCATAGTTAAAAGAAAATACCAAACGCCCGACGGAGACTGAGGCAACTGATATATTAATTCTTTCAACTGTGATCTCGCGCTAATTCACTCTGTCAGAAATCATGTATCATTCATCTCTGTGTGGAATAGTCTTGTTTCAGTATTAGGGTTTTGACGTCACATCATCGCCTCGTTTTCAGAGGTCCGAAAAATCGGGGATAACAATAATTTTTTATAAAACGTAGGGAGCTCACAGCAAGAAACGGTTTGCGGTGGTGAGCTGGTTTGGGTGAGTTCTATCGAATTATGAAATTGAAATTGTTTGTGATATAAGCCCATTAGGAAGCTTCTTATTATACATTTCCTGATTTACAGTTGCAACTGAAAATTAGAGCCTCACTGTCTTAGTTTTCAAAATTTCTCATCAGACTTCCTACTCTTTTTTGAAGTCGTCTGAAAATGTAATATGCACCTCGACGAAAACCTGTCTATAATGTCTCGCCTGCTTGCTAGCCCCGGCTGGGCCTCGTCTATCAATGCGCAAGGAAAATGATGCAAAAACTGCGGTTTCAAGAAAGTGAGATAATATTTGATTTTGGCATTCTTTGAGATATCAGAATGTAGTCAGTTCATATACTATACCGGCGGGTTGCCTATCGAAATGTGGCTGCAAGTATTTTTAGAGGAGGTCATTTGCAATCAAACTAACCATATACCGGGTGGCTACGGAAGTATTGCCTACGGAATATCTCAGTTATTGTATGAAGTAGGGTTGTGAAATTTGGAGCGCCGATATAATGACATAAGAGCTAGAATTTGAGCATATTGACATGTCGAAGTCAACTTCCGGTCTGACCGGAAGTAACATCAACTTTCTTATTTTAAATGGAAACCCTATTTTTTTCTGTTCGCTTTATTCAGCATTCAATTCCCTTTCTAATGACATATCACAAGTTGGTATCTAACCAGAAACTAGATTAGAAAAAAATTATTATTGAAATTCACCGAGTAGGCTGTGGAAGCAAAATGAAAGCCAAAAATTGAAAAGTTGGCTATGGAAACCATACGTCACTTGATAACAGTTGCTACTACTGTGATATTATATTTTCATTCGTCGGCGTTATAAAAAGCCGCCAAAAAAAATATCGGGAAAATTGAAAAAAAAACAATACTCTGTAGGTCCATAACTTGAATAGGAATATACAACTTTTTCTTGTCTGGAATATTCTCAGATAAATTATGAAAATACAAAATTGGATATATATTTATATAAAGCAATACATTGAGAATTCGCATTCTCTATGTGATGAGAATATTTACTCTTTCTCAGTTGATTCAATAAAAAACAACTACTTTCCTGGCTATATGCCACGACGAACATTGAATTATATCTAATGAACACACACGATAAGAGTTTGAAAATAAAATATAAAAACTTCTGAAATTGAAAATTTGCATTCTCCTTCAGACAAAAATATGTATATGCACACATCATTCTGAATATTCAACAGAAAACAACTACTTTCCTCAATGTATTGCTTTATATAAATATATATCCAATTTTGTATGTTCATAATTTATCTGAGAATATTCCTTTTCAACAGTTTCATACCCAATCAGGGGGTTCAAACTTGAACGATGGAAACTTGTAATTTTTATAGACCTCTAATCGCAGATTCGTGATAGAGTCTCAATTCAGAATTTCTTTCCACGCCCTGTATGATGAATGTCAATTTATCATACACCCAAAACTAATTATTATTCTTCAAAAAACAAAACAGATTATCGACATAATCAAAAATAAAATTGAAAATAATGTGGAATGATAATAATTTTTTTCTGATCTAGTTTCTGGTTAGATACCAACTTGTGATATGTCAATAGAAAGGGAATTGAATGCTGAATAGAGCGAAAAGAAAAAAAAATAGTGTTTCCATTTGAAATAAGAAAGTTGATGTTACTTCCGGTCAGACCGGATGTTAACTTCGACATGTCAATATGCTCAAATTCTAGCTCTTATGACATTATATCGACGCTCCAAATTTCACAACCCTACTTCATACAATAACTGAGATATTCCGTAGGCAATACTTCCGTAGCCACCCGGTATGTGATTATCCAATTGTTGATGGATCAAAAGTTATAAAATTTTTTCGAAAAACACGACCCATTTGAAAAAAATTAATTACAAAGAGGATGTTTTGAATAACCCCGTATGTTATACCATTTCGGAATATGTATTAAATGGGCCACTTTTTCTCATAGTTGGTTATCTCTGTGGGGTAAATGTTTGAATCTGCCAGTGGCATATTAAAAAATCAACTGAATTAAATATGCCATTCAACAATACTTGAGGGAAACAACATTTTTCTTAATTGATAGGAAGTAATACATGGCCCATTAAAATGAAATCTGGAGAATGGTACGTCCATGCGGACATAATTCTATTATAATTAATTTTTTTATAGAAATAAAATTTTTTTAATAACTTTTGAACCATCAACAATGGAATAACCACATATACGGTTAGTTTGACCCCCCCCCCCTACCTCTCCACTTCTTTTGATCCATGAAATATGGGACACCCTGTATATAGCTTTCAACCAAATAAATATAAAAAAATAAAAATTTGGATGGGAGTTTTTTGAAAAATATGTTCTTTCAGAACATGATAGAAAAGATAACTTCCTGGAAAGAATATATGTTTTCCGGCAACCGTCCGGGAGGTGCTCACCTCCCGGAGGCTTTTTCTTCGAGAAAGTTGCAGTTTTCCGGCCTAGTCCGAGAAGTACGTACTTCCGGACTAGCCCGGAAAGTATTCACATCGTTGTTGTCACTGTAACTATGAAAATCTCGGTAGATATGGTTTTGATAAATGCAGATGCGAATTACCGTAACAGCGAAATATCGGCTGAAAGCTATTTGAGATTAAATTAGTTGACATTTTGATTTTTGAAAGTTTGTTTGCAATTATCGTAATAAACTAATGAAAGCAGATGAGATATTGGGTTTCAAAATGTCCATACGAAATTTCCAATGTAACATTAAGTAGGTATATATGTATTCTGTTCAAATTCCAGTATTTGATACACTTGAGAATTAATAAAGAAGTAATCGTATTCTACACAGAAATATAATATGGAAATGTGTCTCATTGATTCGTTATTCTACATGATGGCCGAAAAAATAGTGTACGCGACACGTCCAAAAACAGTTTTTTTGGACTAGCAGACTTCCAGAATTTTGTCTACTCATCAAAGAAACAGTATTTTCCGGACTTGTTACGTAAATTACTATTTTCTGACGTCATTTCCGCACAGCTATTCAAATTCCTTCCGCCAAATTTGCATTTGCAGGTTTCGTTTTCCTGCATAAGCCAAGGCCCTGTACGTCTTCCAATGAGCAGTGAAACTGGAACCCCTCCTGAAAACAAACGCCACTCACCAAAACAAATTCACCAACTAACATTTTGCGACTCGCGGTTTCACTGATGAATCAAAGTAAGGGATTAGTCTTTTATACCGCTTGTCCGATCGGAACTAGATCTGCCCAGTCAGACTGTCAGTCACCCAGGGCCGGATTTAAACATAAGCGACATAAGCGCGCGCCTAGGGGTCCGCACCACAAAGGAGCCCATACCACAAAAAAATACGAAATAATGTCACTGGATGTATCAACTAATGTTGGAAAAAACATAAAAGATAGCTTTCCTAATGTAGACTAATTGCTCGGCATCAGAAAGATCAATCTCTATAAGCTGAACAGATCAAGAACAAGAACCCGAAAAAAAAATCACTGGGTCACATGCTCGATGAGTACGCCCCTGGAAATTCTGGATCAAATATAATTGGTTCAGTAGATAATTGTCTGATAATTGTGTCAATAAACCATACAAATTTCATTCAAATCGTCTCAAACGTTTTCGAGATATTAATAAAAAACACTTTTTTTTTATTTTGGAAACCCTCACGGAAACGAAGAATTCTCAGACCCTTGTTCGTATAAACTTTTTTTCATATTTTGTTAAGGAGAACACCCTGTAGAACACGACAAGTCAACCATGTATTCGCGATAGAAAATAGGTGTACGCCACCTATCGAAGATTTTGAAAGCTTCCATACCCCCCGATGCTCCGCCTGTCCAGATCCACACCACGGGTGGAGCCTAGGGGCCTGTAGTTTCTAAATCCGGCCCTGCTAACACCCAGAAAAAAAAACACAAGAGTCTCGCCTCAAATGTTTTCTCACTAGTTCACTATCAAGTATCAAGTCAAACAGATATGAGAGAAAGGTGTTATGACTGTTTTCAGGCAAAAATCAGGAACACGCATGGATTCAGATTCAGCGAAGTTTCCGGTTAGAGTTTTTTGTCTTAGGCCGTTCAGCTATGTTCAAATACCTACCGATTGTTAATTGGTTACCTCGCTAATTATGTCACTCAATCATATTTTCTAATTGGACTAATTAACATATAGATATGAACAGACTGGTGTAGAAGTTTATCAGAATCATGATAGTCGGAAAGAAAAATCTGTGTGAAATAATTAAAAGCTCAACTTTCGTAAGTATTAGAGATTCTTTTTCATTGTGTAGATACAAGTTTCTTCATAGATATCCAATATCTTGTAAGCTGAAAGCAGTGGCGGATCCAGGGCATGGGCGTCATTTTGGGGGGCAAAGAGGGAGGGCAATTGCTGTCCCCTGGTTTTCTACAAAAAATAATTTTACACTGAATCTTAATTCCTGTATCAATGACACAAAACGAAACAAATCAGTACTTCAAATTGAAAGTAATCTATCATGGTAAGTTCGATATGTCAGGCAGTATATAATATTAGGTATCAAACACAAAATATACCTAGTTACTTTCGAAAAACCGGCAAGAGACTGTTTAAAAAACATTTAGTAAAATAAATACGACATAAAGCTCAAAGTCATTTCCACACAATATGTTCATAAAATGAACAACAATGATAGGTTTCGGGAGAAAAACAACTACTTTCCTGGCTGATACCACGCAGAACACTGAATTACATCCTCCCGAAATCTATGCATCGACTCGTATAAACGAATACTGATTCGATTTAGCCGGGCAACGCTAAACACCTGCAGACCGGTTTCGAGCTCTTTGACTTTCATCATAGTGCAGGGTAGTCTCCAGCCAGCAGTCCTAAGACCGCCAACTAACCGTAGCTTTGTGTGGAAATGACTTTGAGCTTTTTGTATTTATTTAACATTTCATTCCACTTTGAGCATTGTGGCTATTTCGTAGTTGAAATTACGCCAGTCGGGCAACGAGCCACTCCCGTATGGGAATTACAGTTTTGGAGTGTTTTTTTCCTTCTTTCCTACTCAGATGGCGTTGCTTTCATATTGTCTATGAAAGACGCCTCTGGGGGAATAAAATGCCGACTTGATTATAGTTTTGCCAAGTTTTGTTATACTGTATGCTACGCTCAGTTGGCGCAATTAGGATTGCTGGTATTGAATCGAAATCAATAGGCATTCAAGAAAAGAATCACTTTTTATCATCAGTATTCGCTTATATCTTCGATGCATAGACTTCGGGAGAATGTAAGCAGTTATTTTCTCCTGATATTTATCCTTGTTGTTCATATTATGAACATTGTGTGGAAATGACTTGAGCTTTTTGTATTTATTTAACAGTTCATTTCACTATGAGCATTATGGCTCTTTCGTTGTTGGAACGTTGAGTAAGTTACTGGACAAGGTATAAGGTCAAAATCATTGGAAAAATGAATTATACATGAATTTGATTGAGAGACGAAATATGAATCTGCTGAATTCTGCTACAATTTCATGAGCGAAACCAAAGCAGCAAACTGGAGTATGTCAATCGACGAATATATCCAGGAAAAATAGTATCAGGAGTTGTAGTTGTATTCGTATGAGTATTCCATGATTGAGACAATAAACGAGCGGCTTGCGAGAGTTGCTCACACTGCATCCATCATTCTGGCTTCCAACATAATTGACCGTGGGACCGCCAATGAACTCAATGTAAACAAAAACATTGGTTCAAAAGTTAGTCATTTTTTTCTGAAAAGGCTGTTTTGAATTACCCCATATGTTCTATCATTTCGGAATAATCTGTTTTGGATGGCCTATATTTTGGTTATATAGGTATTTTTGTTGAGTTGTATTTAAATCTGCCTGCGGCATTTGAAAATCAACTGAAATATTTCATTCAATGACAAAACTTGATGAAAACAACATTTTTCTCCAAGCGGCATAGAAAGTGGCTTTTCTCTGACACTTAACATGCAGGAAAGGTGTACTTTCTCTGCCTAGGCTGAAAAAAGTTTGTTGCTATATGCAACGTTCCAATTAGAATGAAATTGGTGATAAAAATTGACACTGACATTGAGTTAACACAAGATGATGGAGTTTTCAATGAAAAAAATTTTACGAAATTGGTTTCACAACATTTGGAGAAAAATTATAAACCTACTTATGTTTCACACCGCGGCAAATGTAGATTGACTGCCTTGGCTGAATTCCTAGCCTCGCTACGCTCGGCTGTGAACTCCATCATCCGCGGCAGTCAATCTATACTGCTTTGCTGTCAAATAACTATTTTTTTAGGTACCTCTAATTGATACGAAGTAATACATCAGGTCATGAAATGATTTCTGGGGAGAGGGCGTGTGGATATGAGATTAGTAAAAGAAAAAAGCACAAATGTGACATCATTTTATTTTAATTCATTTCTTAATTCTTACGTATAAATGACCCGACCGCATACTATGATTTCTCTACGTCACATCGAGCGAGACGTTGATTCTACCTTTTTCCGCTAGATGGTGATACTGCTATTGCTGCTGTGACGAGTCGAAATAAAATGGCAAATGGCATCTTAGGAACTCGGAACATATTATTATGTATAACAGTGGGTATTCAACTCTGAGTTCGAAAAATCCGCGGTAATTTGAAAATTGACAGATGTCATAATTGTGCAATGTCGCCATCTATCCGAAAACTGCTGAACACATTGTTCTCGGGACAGTCGGGACTCTCGGGAGTCGGAAGGTCGAGAAGAATTTCTGAAACAGAAGCGCATCAGTAAGTGCACCTCCCAATCCAGAAACATTTCCATCATTTCAGAAACAATCAGAAATCATGTATCTTTGTATATTACTTCCATCTTTCATCTACTATCCCGGAAAACCAGAGAATAATATGGTAACAAAGCCAGATATGCTACACGGCAAAGTCTCTTCGTAGAACAAAAAAATAAAAAAAGAATAAATCATCCAAGGCCTCAGAAAGGAATAATAATAAGAAGAAGAAGGTTGACAGTTGTCTGTCAACGGGTCAACAACTGTCATATCAATCAACTTTGAAGGTTGGGAGCACGAAGTTGGATTTCTACCTAAAAATCACTCTAAATTCGATATTTATTAATATGAATGTTTGATTTTGATTATATCCAGAAATAGATAAACAGGTCAGTTGTCTTGTCTGGATCCATTCTCGACTCCGTGACAAATTAATAAAAGTGGTTTATGCGAGGATTTATGTTTATGACTAGGACTAGGTACTGAATTCTACAATACCAATACCAAAGCAATGAAATACTAAGAAATAGAATACCGTCGGCACTCTTGTCAGCATCGATACTGCTCACACATAACCTTATCTCAATTGCGCAATATAACACAAGTACTTGTGTTTTAATATCGGTATATCAACCATATATCAACAGTCGTTTGGCCTTCGTCCTGGAGTAAACATCGTGCGGAAAATCGTGCCTAAAATTTACCACAGAAGTCTCTACTTTGAAAGATGGGTCTGTTAACTGAAGGAACTCCTCTCACTTGGGAAGAAATCAAGAAATGGACACAACATGTAAGGGAACATGGCATCATTCAGTTCATCAACATGTACAAAAAGCTCAGGGACCGTGAAGGTGATATTCTCAAATGGGGAGATGAAGTTGAGTATATCATTGTTAAATTTCTACATGACAAAAACCAAGCAAAAGTGAGTCTTCGTGGTCATGAATTGTTGGCTATACTAAATGAAAAAGAACTAGCAGACCCTAATGGTGTTAAATCCTTGTGGAGGCCAGAGTTTGCTTCTTACATGATAGAGGGTACCCCAGGGAAGCCCTATGGAGGCCTCCTGGCACATTTCAACATTGTAGAAGCAAATATGAGACACAGAAGAGAGGAAGTCAGTCAACTTTTGAAGCCTGATGAAGTTGTTATGAGCATCACTAGTTTCCCAAGGTTAGTCATAGTTCATTTGATTTCATGAATAAATAATGATGATGAGTTTACAATATTGAGCATGGATAATCTATTAGCCTATTACTTCCTTCAATCAATAAAGGTTTGTCATTAGGTTTATCATGAGTTGAGTCATAAGTTGATCAAATATTATGATAGTCATCAAGTTGAGCTTTACTGAAGAGGATATTTTGAGAATTGAAAAAAATAGGTAGGTATATTATGTACCTACTTATAAATACTTCATACAAGTGGTTTTAGAAGGTTTCTATGTTTGGATGAACAAATCAAAACTTCCTTATGTTTTGGGTGATTACAAACATGTTCTTGTTCTCCTTTTCTCTAGATTGTGATAATAATAATAATAATAATAATAAATGAGTTTATTTTGAATTATTACAGATTTAGGGTTCAAATGTTCACATTATTGCCTTGTAAGGGTAATGGGTAGATATAGATAATATTCCAGACAATATTATATCCAATGTTATTGCATTTATCATGTATCAGACATATATCTCATAGGTAATATTTAGGAATTAAAAAAAAAATCTGGAAAAAAATCAATACACACCCTTTTTAAAACTGATGATAGAGTAAAACATACCGAATTGGTGATTTTTGATAGCAAAAATTGATATAAGAGAAAAAATGTTATTATTATTATTCCAGTTAAGAGTCCAGTTATTGTTGTTATCTGCTTTTTTGAGTTTTGTGTGTATGTGGAATTTTGCTGCTCTGTGAAACACACTGTATATAGATAAATAACCTGGTGTATGTATATATATAGTGCATAGGTCTATGCTACATTCAAATTTCAATTTTCTAATTCATAAATCAAAGGGAATCTTGAATTTCTGAACGTTGACTCCTGGACCTCAGAGTTTGAAATGTTCAATTTTTTCATATGTAATACCACAAGTGATACTATTTTGCCGGAAATATTCGCGATTGTCACAACATAATTTCGCCGAATGACATTGTTTATCAAAACTTCCGAGCCGTAGGCGAGAAGTGTTGGTACAATTTCGTGAGCGAAATTAAAGCAGCAAGCTGGAGTATGTCAATCAAAGAATATTTCTAGGAAAAATAGTAACATGAGTTGTAGTTGTATTCCTATGAGTATTCCATGATTGAGACATTAAACGAGCGGCTTGCGAGAGTTGCTCACACTGCATCCATCACTCTGGCTTCCAACATAATTGACGTTTCAAACGTACAAAATTTCATCGCTGAAAAATGAGGAAGGTTGGTCACATGTGGGTCAATTCGGCTTCTGTATTGGCAATGACAAATTTGTCCGTCATTTTGTATACGCCATCTCAAATTTACAAATTCCGACTGGAAATTTGTGTTACTGAATTTCGAGCTGAATCTCAAAAATCCCCCGATATAGATTTTCGTTCAAATTGGACGAAAAACGACAAACTCGCCCGCAAGATACACCCTGTATTTTATCGCATTTTCAGATTCTCCCTAAAGAGCTGATTCAATCGATGTATCACACTTGGGGTCTATCGAAAATGATTACAGAGATATAGGGTGTTCAAAATCGAGATTTTTCAACTACAGGATTTTTTTTTGTGTCGAAACTATTCATCATCGGTCAAAACGGCTCACATGTGCCTGTCTCAACTTTTGATTCCCTATTCGCTGATATTTTATCGGAACAGATACAGGGTGGTTCAAGATTCAGAATTCTGATCACCCTGTATCTGTTCCGATTGAATATCAGTAAATAGCGAGCTAAATAGGGAATCAAAAGTTGAGATAGGGACATGTGAGCCTTTTTGGCCGATAATAAATAGTTTTGACACAAACAAATCCAAAAGTTGATAAATCTCGATTTTTAACACCTTATATCTCTGTAATCATTACCGATAGACCCCAAGTATGATGTATCGATGAAATCAGCTCTTCAGGGAGAATGTAAAACTGCAATTAAATACAGGGTATTCTATTCGAAATAACAAAGTTGTTGCTACTTTCTGATAGAAGCGGCAACACTGCATTGCTGAAAATATTTTAAATGACGAGAGCGTATTCAAAAATTTAAGGATGCATATTTTCATGCATTTCTCCCGACTGATTCTCGGTATAGAGATAGTGTAAGCTCGTCGTGACGTACCCTGTATTGATGACATTTTCTTCATTAATCGAGTCATTAATAGAATATCAAATTATCTCACTAGTTCACAGTAGGATCGATTCTGAATTGAGAAAAATTGACTTGATATTTCCTCAAAATAAAACAGATGGCAACACAGGAAAAGGCATTATTACGTCATTACTGGCGCCTCCGAACGCTATGTTAGAACGTTTCATGAAATTTTGGGGTATTCAAATGGTGTTTTTCGAAATATCACAGCATATTTTATCAAAAAATTGATGCATTACAGTTATTTTACTATTGTATTTCAATTATATGCACAATTTAAATTGAATTCACGCATTTGTGTCCTTGCCTTCTCATCTCGGCCTGTCCCAATAGTTATGACTCACCCTGTATATGTTGCATTGGTTAGATCTCGGTATACAGGGTGTAAATTTGAAAACTTTCAATGCGAAAAAGTTAGAAAAACGCCGCTTGGCAAAAATGCTAAAGAGTTAAGGGGAACTAGAACCACCATATTTCAGTGAAGGGATGAGTCACCCTGTCAGCGCAACACACCCCAACTTTGAAATGTCAAATGGCACTACCTCTTTTGTGATACCTCAAATGAACGGTCTCAGTCAGTAGTATTCACCTTTACAAGACTTTTTTTCCACCCACTACAGGGTGTACGAAAAACATTAATTCGAGGGTCTAAATTTTAAAACTTTCAATGCGAATATCTCGCTAAATAAAACAGTTAGGAAAACGCCGTTTGGCACAAATGCTACAGAGTTAGGGGGAACTAAAACCACCATACTTCAGTAATGAGTCACCCCGTCGGCGCGACACACTCCATCTTTGAAATGTCAAATGGCACTACCTCTTTTGTGATACCTCAAATGAACGGTCTCAGTCAGTTGTATTCACCTTTACAAGGCTTTTCTTCCACCCACTACAGGGTGAACGGAAAACATAAAGTCGAATAAAATAAAATGCATAATGCCGATATATTCCAAGAGATGTGTTCCAAAATGTTAGAATGGCATTTGAACATCAATTATACTATTGCTTACAACAGAATGGAATGCATTTTGAACATCTGATCAAATAAAATATCCTTTTAACACAATTCATTTTATTTTATTCGACTTTATATTTTTCGTACACCCTGTAGTGGGTGGAAAAAAAGTCTTGTACAGGTGAATACTACTGACTGAGACTGTTCATTTGAGGCATCACAAAAAAGGTAGTGCCATTTGACATTTCAAAGTTGGGGTGTGTCGCGCCGACGGGGTGACTCATCCCTTGACCGAAATATTGGAGCATTTTTTCCAAACGGCGTTTTTTTAACTTTTTTTTTTTTCGAGAGATATTCGCATTGAAAGTTTTCAAATTTACACCCTGTATGTCGTCACGAGTTGTCTTGCGTTTTTCATGTTACTTCAATATAATGAAATAAAATGTTTCACTGGAACATGCCCGACGAATAATATTGAATTCTATATCTTCCACACAGCTATTCAATCCTCAATCAATAACTCTTTCTCAGTATCATGAGTTTGCATAATAAATTCCATTTCCATATCAATATAAATTGCAACATCATCATGACTATAATAGACTGTAAACTGTTTCGTGACAGATGATGAATTAGATATGTTTTTTTTTGTTATTATTTGTGTGTGTATTGGCCAATTTACATGGATATCAGATCCTGTATATACACGATAATTATTTAGTGATTACTCAAATGTCCTTGGATAAGAATACCTACTGTAACTTCCAAGCTGGTTCCATTGTAAATACAATGTGTTTTTAATAATTTTGGACGTTATAATTCTTAGGTAGTCCCATAGGTAGGTAATTAATGAAAACTAACTTTCTAATCTGTAAAAGGTATTTACAAAAACATACCACATATTCCCTAGACCTCGCCCTAGACCAAAATGAGTCGATACCTCAGTACAAAGTTGCATTGTTTGGGCTCTAGAGGGCCTTGAAGTTACAATTTTTAAATCGGTTTTCCCATATAAATTCAAAACGGCATATGCGATTTTGCTGAAATTTGGTATATTGATAAAGTATTATGTGGCAAAAAAAATGGTGTTAAAATTTTGTTTGATAATAATACATAGGCGTAGAACTTGATTTTTTAAATAATTGCACCTTCAAAAATTCTACGCCAATGAAAGAAAAGGCGTTTGAGTATGAAATTCAGATTGCGCAACTTATTTACTTTAAAAAAGGTGCTCTTGATAAGACGCGATTGCTCTCATGGTTTTGACGAAATTTGCATTTTAGTAATTTTAGAACATCAACAATAATTATTAAAATACAAACTTTGTTAAAACCATGAGAGTATATCGAGTGTTATCAAGGGTACTTTTCTGTAGTAAAGGAATACCCAATCCAAATTTCATACTTAAACCCCTTTTCTGCCATAGGCGTAGAACTTGATTTTTTAAATAATTGCACCTTTGAAAATTCTACGCCAATGGCAGAAAAGGGGTTTGAGTATGAGATTTGGATTGGGTACTCATGTTCTAAAATTGGAAATGAGCTCTTTGTATTTATTAACATTTCAGCACTTTGAGCATTGTTGACCAAAAGATGTAGGTATAGAATTATTAGGAGAATAAAGGTAGGTGACACATTTAACTTGCATTTAAGTGGGACACGCTGTACACAGAAATAAATCATGTTTTTATTTTTAATTTCAAAATATTGTGAACTCTGATGTTTTGAAAATAAAACAGAAATCACCCATAAATCGCAAAAAACAGTAGATTTTGCCGAGGATTTGGCCACTAAATATATTGTTTATCTGAAACCTTCTTCCGCTATTCTGAAATGAACAATATTTGCATAGTGCATAGAACTGGTCTCTGGATGATGTAATTCGTAAAATAGGTATTTCATGAAGGCCATAAAACAATGTAGATCCCAAGTTTTGCAGAAAGCACCAATCAACGTTTGATAATACCATTTTGTTTATTCAGAATGTGAATGAAAGAGTGCAAAATAATTCCTAACTTGCTTCGATTTTGACGTACCGGATGTTGAGTTTGGTAGTATTTATTGTTTCTTTATTATCCCTCTATATAAGCTTTCATGGTGGAAACATTCTGGGTTTTTTTTATCCCGAAAACGCCCAGTTACAAATTTTGAATAGAATCGGTATATAATTACTAAACTCGTCCGCCATCTTGAATTTCCAAATTACACCCGAATTTTCAAATTCTGTAGAAAGAATCATAATCGTCGACCCCGAAAACCCCCAGGTGTCAATTTTGAATAGAGTCGGGCCATAATTACAAAACTCGTCTGATATATTAGATCCGCCATTTTGAATTTCCTAATGGTACCGGGATAAAAAGAATCCTATAACCTCCTCCTGGTTCTAAGCTACCTCCCCACCAATTTTCAGCCAAATCGATCCAGAAGTTTCGGAGTCTATTCAATACATACAAACAAACAACCAAATATTTTCTCTTTATAATATTTTAGTATAGGTAAATCTTGTAAATTTGTTTACTTGTTTCCAAGAACTTACAAACTTTCAATGAAAATTACAGATTTCCTATTTTTATTCGATTTTATGGGTGGAAATGGACTGAAATTGATGCAACAAAATCAGGGGACAGCATGAATTCCCCGATTGATTCAATCTTATGATATGATGTATTTTTAAACGAAAAAATATCAGTAGCAAGAAATTTTTTTCCAAAGAAGATGACAGATTTTCGATATGTGGGGTGGCAGTAACTGGGAAAAAAGGATAGGTGACAAAATAACTCTATTCATTCTACTACCAGGTGTCCTTACTGATGAAAACACCTATAGCCAAATATTTTATTTTTAATATGTAAATTATTACTACACTTCAATACCAAATATTCCGTCTTGCTGGCGCGAACCTTCTTGCTGGCTTCACACCGGTCAAGATTACTACAGGCCATCTACAGGCAATAAAATGTCATATTTTCAACCCTCAACTGTTTCTCATAAAAATCAATAAACCCTGCTACTGATGGGTCGTCATAATCCATATTTAATGGCACATTCATCACAAATCAATAATTTCTACAATTAACACCAGATATTCATATTATGTATTGGATCTTTCTTTTATTTGATTCAGACCAGGAAAGAGTTCCTCTTATCCTGATAGCTATCATGAAACGAAAAAACAAAATGAAAACGGTATTGAAATTTGATGCGAACAGCCCTTCTGCCCCAAATAAGTTTCAGAAATACATTCTGAGAATTGAAAAAGATCGAACGGAACAAATAAATATCAAAAACTTGAGAAGAGTAAATTTGGTCATAATGTTGATATTTTCTCTAGTTTATGGACAATCTCGGTCTTTTGAACTTTGATTGATCACCTGGGTCATAATCAACTTCATTTCGAAGAAATTCTTGATGTTTCGTTCTCTAATCACGGACACGATTAAAGGGAGTTTCAGATCCCTGGCGATCTGGTTATTCCGAACATACCAAGGAGATCCTGTCACCATTCTCGCGATTTTGTATCGTATTGTTTGTAATCTGGTGATATGAGATTCAGCTGTGTGGCCCCAGACTACCGAGGCATACAGTAAAATTGACCTGATAGCCATGATGTGAATATTCAATTTTTGTCTCAAACCCAATTTACTTCGTCTGTTTAGAAATTAATACAGGGCTCCAATGGCTCGTTTAGTTTTTGAAACTTGCTGTTCAATGTGCCGGGCCCAGGTGAGCTTTTTGTCAATGCACACACCTAAGTATTTACCTTGTGAAGACCACTCTAACCTCGACTCTAACTCATGACCATCCAGGACTATTCTGGTTCTGGGAGGCCTCCGCTCCCTTCCGAGTGCGACCAATTGTGTTTTTGCAAAATTCAATTTGATATTCCATATTAAGAATTACTCCTGATGAGAATTCAGCTGCTTGCTCGAAATTTGTCGAATATGCAAGAACTGCCGTATCATCAGCAAAAAGCGACATCTTGCACATCACTGGTCTCGGCAAATCGCTAGTAGTTTCACTTGAAAAGTTTGATTTTTCAGAAATTAACACATCAACTGAATCAGATCGTCAGAAAAGCCCATAACGATCATTTTGTACAAGATATCATCATGCCACACCTTGTCAAATGCTTTCGAACCAGATATTTATGTCAGCATTTCTATGGGTGCAAATTTTCAGGTTCAATAGAGCGCTAACTTGAAAATACTCACTTTTTCAGGATGGATAAATTATGTCCCAAACTCACATCTTCACAAAAACAACGCGAACATCATCAAAATATCATTATAATCATTTATGGGTGTGAAATAGGCTTTATGGACCGCAGCAGGCCTAGGTCCATAATAGCATGTTACGACCGAAGTCGAGGCCGAAATTCATGTACAGTGTGTCCAGTTTTCGATGCTTTTGCATTATATCTCAGATATCTCGATATGAAGCCTTTCAAGATAGCCTAATCAAATTTTGCATAACTGTTTCAGTTAATGAGATACAGGGCAATTTTGAAAATTCATACTTTTTGGACCCCCTCTATATCTACGAAGTTTCTCAGCGAAAATGTCAAATTAAAATCTCATTCCATAGAAAATTGTGTGCAGTATCCAGTGGCGCACTCAACATTTGTCGGGGTATGGTTTTGGAGTTACGACTCAAACTTATGATTTTTCGAATGGGACACCCTGTATTTCACAAGCTCATGTTTTCTCTTCAGAATGATATACAGGGTGGGTCACGGTGGATGGCCTATTAGAAGTATCAGGAGAACGAAAAAACAGAACATTCTCTGAAAATTAGGATGATTCGATAATTGAACATTCTCTATTCGTCTAAAATGTTTTCATCGATACAGTGTTGCCACTTCTTTCAGGAACAACTAGCAACTTCGTTATTTTAAATGGAGCACCCTGTATTTTATTGGATTTTCAGATTCTTCCTAAAGAGCTGATTTTATCAATGCATCACACTTGGGGTTTAGCAGGAATGATTACAGAGATATAGGGTGTTAAAAATCGAGATTCTTCAATTTTGGAATTTTTTTGTATCGAAACTATTCATTATCAATCAAAACGGTTTGCATGTCCCTATCTTAACTTTCGATCCACTATCTACTGACATTCAATTGGAACAGATACAGGGTGATCAGAATTCTGAATCTTGAAGCACCCTGTATTTTTTCCAATTAAATTCCAGTAGATAGTGAATCAAAAGAAAAAATAGGGACATGTACGCCGTTTTAATCAATAATGAATAGTTTCCGACACAAAAAAATCCTAAAATTGAAAAATCTAGATTTTGAATACCCTATATCTCTGTAATCATTTCTGCTTGACCCCAAGTATGATAATCGATAAAATCAGCTCCTCGGGAAGAATCTAAAAATGCCATAAAATACGGGTGTTCCATTTGAAATAAAAAAGTTGCTAGTTGTTTCTGATAGAAGTGGCAACACTGTATCGATGAAAACATTTCAGACGAATAGAGAATGCTCAATTATCAGAGCTTCCCAATTTTCAGAATGTTCTGTCTTTTCGTTCTCCAGATACTTCTAATAGGCCATCCACCGTGACCCACCCTGTATAATGTATGAATATAAGATTTTCAAAAATGCTCCAAAATAACTAAAACATTGAATTTTAGTAGTGGGCAATGGATTTTTCAGATAAAAAAGTTCCAATTGAAAGAATATTTCTTTTGAGTTTGCCCTGAAGAGGACAAAAAGAATACCAACACTAATTTACTAAGAAAACACAAAAATTAGGTACCTGATAGCAACGAATAAATAGTAATAGAAAGTTCATAATGTAGAATAAGCACCAGATTGAATATTTACAAAAACAATTGAATTTCGAAATTATTCAGTAACTTATTCATTGAATTGTTCAATTGATGTAAATTTTTCTCTAACATTTTCCATAACACACAATTGACACAGTTTCTCAATACGTCTTAATACAGTAAAAGGCACAATAATCTTGAAGAACTTTGTGCAACAACAGGAGCAGTTTTCCAGGAATTACAAAGACATCCTTTAATGATTTTGAATGAATTAAGACGTATTGAGAAAGATAAGGAAGAACCAAAAAACATTTTCGAAAAAAAAAACATCGCCTGAGAAGTGCAGTTTTACCAGGCGTTGTAGTGTAGAGTTACAACCTGGTCCTTGAGTTGCGGTTGGAGGTTAAAGAAAGGAAAAATGAACACGCCTCGTATAAATGTTGTTTCTCAGATTAGGTTGTGGTGATTTCACGGACCCACCATCGAAACCCAACCCGAAAAGTGGCGAAACTAGGTCAATATTCCTGCCTGATGAGACAGTGAATCAGGGCCATCCGAGGTTCCTTGGTCTGGCAAGAAACATCAGGGAGCGTAGAGGAGATACACCATCTATCAATATACCAGGTGAGTCATTATATTCCAATGGGGACCACTGAGAAGAGAAATCCGTGCAAACCTCTTTCAATCGACGAATCATGATTTACGTTTGATCGAGCGTTTGATGTACAATCAATATTATCAGTTAAAGTTGAAGGAAATCGAATCTATATCGTTTTGAAATCAGCATACTTCATTCGATATTTCAAACAGCCAAATGTAATGGTGGAGTCGTGACGTATTAGTCCCGAACTGTAGCTATCTCTCTCTGATACCTCGTCATTCTGCAGTGTTGCAGTGTGATTGGTCAGTTCAAGGACAATAGGCGTGTTGGGAATAAGACGTCGCACCAGTCACAACAATGAATTGACAAAATTTCAAATGGCGCAGGAATTGTGTGTTTTGAAATGGACATATTCTAATTTATTATTTTCATCGTCTTAGCATGAATGACAAAATTCAAAAATTAATTCGCTGGTAGTTTTTCAGTATCGAGTTCACGATAATGTCATTTTAAAAAATCAGTGGTCTCCTCCATCGTGCGCTCCAAGAGATTAAAAAAACCCTGCAAGTCCCTATACAGGGTGGTGTGGTATGTTATGCGGAAAATTCGAAATAATAAACCTACTGTGATAAGCAAATGGATTTACTTCGTATTCATTGACTATGTTTTCAATAAAAAATAAACTTCTCAGATGGTATCTTAATGATAATAATAATAATAGCGTTTATTGCCCAACAGTTACCCATTTACAGGACAAATTATTTAAAAGAAAGTTCTAAGTAGTTACAAACATTTTGAAGAATAATATTCAAGAATATTCAAATATAAATGAAGGAAAGAGAAAAAAGAAATGGAAGAATGAAAATACTACAATTCTATAAAATATAAAAGTAAAAAGAAAACTGCTACATATTACATAATGTTTTCATTCAGATATAGAATAGCCATCACGGTGTATACTTCAGTGTATCATGATGAATATCTCAGTAAACAGAAATTTTATTGAAGTTTCCACACAGGGTATATATAGGGGACTTCAGATATAAATTTGTTCTGGCTCTATTACAGTGAAACACACTACGTTCTACCTAGTTCTAGAATTTGGAAGAAAAAATTTCAATTGAGATACTATGTATATTACAAATATGACAGCACGCTTTCCTCTTACGTCAAGACTTTCAAAATCAAAGCGCGATATTAAAGTTTGGTATGGTACGCCCCTTTCGGGATATTGATTATCGATTTTGAAACATAAAAAATTCAGGAATCGTCTCTGAACTCGTTCTATCATTAACCTGTTGCATATATAGACAGGATTCCATTTAATAGAATCATATTCCAATTTAGATCTAACTTACGCATTATACAAAGAACATAAAGCTTTGAGATTCCAAAAAGATTTACAATTTCTTCTTACTATAACGCCATAGGATTTGAGAGCTTGGTTTACTTTTACCGAAATGTGGTGACCAAATGTTGAGTTGCAATCGAAGTAAATTCCAAGAGTGTTATTTATGTTGTAATTGAATAAGATAGGACATTTTTTTCTTGTGAAACTTAGAAAGGAAGAAAGAAAAATCTGTATTAGCTCTTCAATAGACCTAACAGTAGTTACATTCCTTAAACCCAGTTTCACTACATTTACAATATCATATATGACTAAAGATTGAAATATCATATTTTTCAACCAGTCAAATGACATATAGTAGCACAATGAATGTTTGAAATAGATTCAAATGTTGAGGACATATAGGAATTAGTCCATTCAGGTATTTTAAAATATAAGAAAAATCATTATTATTGAATTGAAGAGGTTTTAAGGGCTTAGGTATTTGATATTTTCAAATACATAGGTAGGTTGCTCCATATTTTCTTAGATAAGTACCTACTCAGTATCCTTTTGGATAAATGTAAATATTGGTACATCAGATTTCAATGTGTCTATTGTTCTTGTTTAACAAATATAAAAATCAGTAAACTATCCTGATATTTCAAGTAAATATGTTTAATAAGAAATGGAGAAACAATGGAAAGATATAAAAAGAATTTTGAGCCTTTGCATAGTTTTCAACACCTAAGATAGTTATGTATCCTCGAAAGAAGATTTTGATGACGTCATTACTTCAGTTCCTAATTTGGAGAAATATGCTAATTTTGTTCGAAAAGGACCTTAATCATCGCATTCAAGAACTGTATCAATATATCCAATGACAACTAGTGAATCATATGAGTAGGTAATCAGCATTCCATGCGAATTATACACTATACTTCTTTAACAGCTTGTACATATAATAGGGAAATAATTCAACAATGTAAATAGCAGTAAATTCAAATTTAATGTCATTCAAAATCTCCATTCAGAATTAAAATATCAATTACATATTGAATAACTTAACAACGATATTCTCATTCTTTTGAGCATTTTATTATTCACAACATTCACAGTTACATCATTACAGTGCAATCATTTGTTACTGATCATATGATCGACACGTTTTACTACGATATAAATTAAACGACAGAGCTCTCATTAGTAGAATATGCATTGTTTGAGATTTGGCATTCCATGGGAGACATAATTTATTATATATTATAAGCACAACCGTAGGCATACAATGAAGTCATTGTTTTATCAGGTAAGGAAATGGAATTGAAGACATATAATGCACCTCATTATTTTATCAAAAACAGTTGAAAAAAAGGTTGTTTATCATACAAGGGAGAAGAGTAGTAGATTTAGATAAAATCTAAATCTCCAGGTTGTGTGAGCTAAAATCTTATATTTTTCCTGTGTGTAATACACCATTTTTTTGTGACAGGAAAAAGAACGAATCAATATTGAATAGTATATTGTTTAACGAGCACGGAATGATAGTGATTTCCTACGAGAATGAAGTTTGCAGCATGGGCCATAGGCGATCATTCGAGTATTTTCGTTGTGGAAATTTTTTATTAGGTGTGTTTTTCGTCATCATTCTTATCGATGTACTAACGCCAAATTGAGATTATATAAAGATTGGTACACCAACTGTTATCAATATTTTGATGGAAAAATAGGAATTCAACATCTGCTTATCATCTGCAATATCATGTTTGCTTGAAAATATTGTATGAATCACATCACAGTAAGTATAATCGGAAAGTGGATCGGATATTGATAAAAACCAATTGAAACTGATAATGATGTTTCTCCAATTATTTTCGATGGCGTCCATAATATTTCATTGTGTTCATTAGCTTAACCTTCATGCGAGGAATTTTTAATAAAACTAACAGGATTATCAACGATAATATTGAAGCATTATGGTGATTCCTTGATTTTTTGATTATGCCTAGATAACAGCATTAGTTTTGTTGGTGTACCTACCTATACTGGTATGTGCGGTTTCTGAAAGTACAAATTCATGTATTTTTCATGACCTCGAAAGTTATCTATTAAAAATAAATATATTTCTATGTACCTATTTAATATAGTAATGAAGAGGAATATTCTCAGATATATTTATGAACACGAAAAAATGAATATATATTTCTTTGACGAAACTTTTGAGTGATTTTGATTGAAAAATATGACCTAAACATCATTTCTACGTAATATGGTACTCTTGTTTGAACACGATATTTTCATCCGTTTTCGAGAAAAGCGCTATTGAACAGTTCAGAGTCTCAGAAGTTAATTACAAATATTATTTCATTCATGAAGAGTGTGCTTTGAACTGTCAGATAATGTTGCTGGTGTTGCTGGTAATGGCATTTCTTGTCAGAAAATGAATGTTGGTGCGAGTTTATAGTCAAACTTTTTTCGATTGAAATGTCTCGTCACAATCATTTTATGAATGAATAAATGCAGGATGCAACCAGAAGGTATGAATTGTAATATCACTAATATCTAGACAGAACGCATCCAAATCACAAAACTTTTTCAAATATTTTTTTTATGCAGTGAAATTATTAGCAAATATTTGGCCCAATCGCCATATTTTGGTCCAAAAACAATCCGCCCTCAGCCTATGTCCCAATAGTTATGACTCACTCTGTATATATAGCTTCAAATTTTTGTCGATGCTAATAGTGGTGGCTGTATGAATGTTAATAGCTATACATATATCACGGGAGCAAAGGTATCCATTTCTTCACGCGTGTAAAGTTGATGCCCGACGCATAGCAAGATATACCGGGTGACACAGGAGACATGAAACAGCCCGTAGTTTTTTATTTGAAAAGATAAAAATTTGAAATTCACAAGGGTTATATTATCGATGATGGCGCTTCCCTTGAACCCAATGACAATTTTCTTCAAACACCCGTTTGATAGAAAGTAGACCCAGCTTTTTTTCTCAAATGGTATCCTGTATATTTCTCTAGCCTATCTTATTCGCCTTGAAATCCTATATTCAACTATGTATCACAATTTGATATTCGTTCATTAATTGGCTGTTAAATTGCATTTTATTGAAATACATTAAGTCGGCTGTGGCCCGAATACAATGACATTTCGATGCTTGATAGAAATCCAAAGATCATTACTTAGACGATATTATAAGAATATTTTCCATACCCTAATCGGTCCCAGAAGATTGCCAATAATTTCATTGAGTTTAAAAAAATCATTCGAAAATAGCTACGGTGTTCCAATTCCAGCTATTCGGAATAAGATATGATATTACTATTCAATTATCCAATGAAAAAAAAAACAAAGGAAACTGGTAATTGATCATTCTAGAACACGTGATTTTGACATGGTTTCTTGAGGGACACACAAACTATCTCTTAGAGGTTACCTTTGATGAGCCCTGGCCATCCCTATCACATCTACAATATAAAAACAGGAAATTATGGAATTCTTTCTGGTTCCAACTCGGATTCCAAGGAAAACGATCCCATTTATTCTGGTTTTATATGACATATCTTGACAAAATACAATGTTTGCCCCTCAGCAACCTGTCAAATGACGTAATTCTGGACTTATTAATTAGAAGATACATAGCATTATCAACATGTTCTATGATCGAAAAATTCGATGTTCATAAATAGTTATTGAACCAACTAGTGTATTAATGAGGGCGATTAATGATCGAGATATTTAATCACCTTTTAATATACAAGTTGGTTACCTACCAAATTTTTCCGTCGACTATATTTCTCATTTCTCCTGCAATGAAGAAAACTTGGTTCGCGTATTCATCATTAATCCGGAAACTGCTAAGAATCACCCAGTAGCCTTGTTACTGACATTAGTGACATTTGACATTTGTCGTTAACGGAAAATCTTCGATGACATCGATATTTTCGATTTAAATGCAGATTCTCATCAATTTTTTCTTTGTATACAAGGTGAATCAAAGTGTTTCCTACTTTGTTTGCAGTATTCCGAGATACCAACACGAAAATCCCCATAGACGACACGCAAACATACTACAAGGACGCTTTGCCCGACCATGTTTACATGGACGCAATGGGATTCGGCATGGGATGTTGTTGTCTTCAACTGACTTTCCAGGCTTGCAACATCACGGAAGCTAGGACTCTGTACGACCAGCTGACGCCTCTCTGTCCCATCATGGTAAAACACTGTTCTATATTTTTGTTCTATAGGTCGCGTGCACGATGACCGACCCTGGAGGTAAAATATTGAAACACAACCTCACTTTTCTGTAAAACATTGATACACAACCTCACTTTTTGATTCGTTTACAGAGGAATCAAAGGATTGAAATAGTTTTTCACAATATTTTGTCATACGAATCGTGTTTTTGGCGCTATTCATTAATTCAAGCATGCATTCTCATTGTGCTGTTGTACAATGCACAAAAAATGCAGCGAGTGACGAAGGAATATGATTTTTCAAGTAAATAGTAATCTCAGTTTTCATTATGAAATTTTTTCATTTTTTAGTAAAATTCCTTCTGCCACTTCTGCAATAGAAGCTAATACTGCTAATAGATTGAAAATGTCTACAACACACACGATCATATTTCGTCAGCATGTCAGACCAGTCCTCCCGTTTGATTGCATGGATCCAATTTTCTTGCATTCTTTTAGAAATTTCACGAGTATTTCTATGAGCTCCTATTGCAGAAGGAATTCCGATGAGAAATCAAAAAAATCACCAAATTTCAAAATGAAAACTATATGGAAGTGACTATACTAGGTACTTACTTTTAAATCATAATGTACCAACCGGATTCCTTCGTCTCTCGCTGCATTTTTTGTGCATCATACAACAGCACAATGTGATGGAATGCGCGAATAGAGATTCAAATAGGGAGAGTAAAGAAAACACGATTTGGGTGCAGGTGACTAAAATAAGATCACTTAATTGATTGATTGTCTTTATTACCCCAAGAAACATCATTGTTTATAATAGGGATATAAACAACAAAACATACATATAACATGATAAATCGAAACAATAATAATGGCACAATTATTGTTTTCCATAAAAAAAAAATTATATAAACAAAATATAAAATGAAAATATCATAACCCATTTCAAGTAGGTAATCAAATTGTGAATGATTATCACGTTGTTAGAAATCACGGTTTGGCGCTAACTACAAAGAGAAATTTCTTGATATCAAGCAAATAGACTCATCACGTTGTTAGAAATCAGGATTTGAGTGCTGATTACAGAGAGAATATTAGCTTGATTTTTATCGCGAACGATTTAAATGATATCAAAAGTGATTTGGAAAACATCAACTTCGATGCGAATTAATATTTAAAATCGATCTTGAAAAAATTTTGGCTTAGACAATTCCAACGAATTGATACTTATAATCTTATAAACAAGTAAGAATGCTTTTCCTGAAATTTATTGTGTAACATTTCATTGATAACGGTTTTTTATTCACGAACCTGATGATCGCTTGTCCCCCGATTTCTCAAAAACTTGGTTGGCACCCTCTATTTGCAGCTGGCATTCAGCGCCGCTTCGCCGCTGCACCGGGGCTTCGTCACCGACTCCGACTGCCGCTGGAGCATCATCTCGGGCTCCGTGGACTGTCGCACGGAGGAGGAGAGGGGCCTCAAGCCGCTGCGCCACAACAAGTTCGTGATCAAGAAGTCGCGTTACGACTCCATCGACTCCTATTTGTCTCCTCAGGTAATGAGGTTGTAATTTGAATTAAAAATGAATGGTAGTTCAAAAAACTAAAGAAATGCCTTTTTATAAGTAGCCAGACTAAAAAGAGGTAGAAAATAAAATAACAAAAACGTGTTGATGAATACACAACATAGAAAATGTTAGCATTTCCGTAATCAGTACATTGTATGTTATGTATTTATCAACACACTTATTATTTTATTTTCTACTTCTTTTCAGTTTGCCTATCTATAAAATGGTGTTTCTTTAGTTTTTCAAACTACTATTAATTTTCTATTTTGTAGTTTGGCTAACTTTTAGTGTTTGTATATTTTTGTAAGTACCCAATATTGACGAAAGAATCACAATCTCCGACCTCTTTAACCCCCGGATACCAACTTTGAATGGAATCGGATCATATAATTACAAAACTCGTCCACCATATTGGATCCGCCATCTTGAATTTTCCAATTTTGACGAAATAATCATAATCTTCAACCCTGAGAACCCCCAATAACTAATGTTGAGTAGAATCGGATTATAATTACCAAACTCGTCCGCCATATTGGTTCCGCCATCGTAAATTTTCAAATTTTGACGAAATTGACGAAATAATCATGATTTCCGATCTTTCCCAGATAAAAATTTGAGGTTATAAGTTGATAGTCAACATTTAAAAGGAAAATGTAATTTCATTGTGTCAAGAACTTTCAATTCATTTTTTACTTCTTGCCAAATTACACAAGTCAAAGTTAATCAATCGATGTTACAAGCTTGAAAATATCTTGTTTTAAACCTGCATGTTCATTCTCAGTGAACCCTTTCAGTTTGAAGGAAAGCACAACAAACTTCGATAGTGCGCCATATTGGATATAGAGTGATGTCACATTATTTTTTTATTTCTCGGCAAGCCCTTTCATTTTATACACATATTGCCAAAGTAATAATAATAATAATAATAATAATAAATTTTTATTATCCCTTTAGACAATCACAATTGTATAGGACTAGTCAGACATCAGATGAAAAAAATACTAAATCTAAAATCAAAATCAAAATTTAAAGTAAAAACTCTTGGTAAAAAAGTGGACAAATATTAAACTTTAGTAATCACATATCACATTTTATAAAATTCCTGTACACAGTAAATAGATTTCTCTAATAAAAACAATTTCAACTTATTTCTGAATATTACTAAGGTTTTACAACTTTTCAATTCCATGGGCAATACATTGAACATACGAAGGGCTGTTGAAGTGGGTGAATTATAAGATAACATATTTTTGCAATAAAGTATGTGAAAATCCATTTTCTGTCTAGTATTCAAAGAATGAATATTTTCATTTTTCAAAAATCCATCTTGGTTAGCAAATGCATATGCACATAATTCTAATATGTATAAACCAGGTAATGTCAATATTGACAATTTTCGAAAAATGTCTCTACAGCTTGTAGTACGAGACACACCAGCAATGATTCTAATTAATTTCTTCTGGGCGATGAATACATCTTTGGATGAAGAAGATCCTCCCCATATGACAACCCCATAACGTAAGCGTGACTCGACTTGAGCATGATATAACATTATCAACTGATTTTCATTCAAAATTGAACGGATATTCTTAAACATATAATTTAAGGAATTCAATTTAGAAACTACTGTCTCACACTGAGTCTTCCATGTTAAATTTTCATCGATATGAATACCTAAGAATTTTACAGATGGTCGAGATGTAATTAAATCATTATTCATATTCAAGTCCAGATTTTCAATATTTTTCTGTCTATTATGGAAGCGTATGCAGTGGGTTTTCTCAGAATTTAGGTGCAATGAGTTCTCCGTAAACCAAGCGTTGAGATCATGTAACACTTTATTACATTTTTTCACTAAAGATTCATCAGATTTATCGGATATAATGAGCGAAGTATCATCAGCGTATAGCGTAAAGAAAACTTCTGGAGAAATTGAATCAATATTATTCACATATAGTAAAAACAAGATCGGGCCTAGAACTGACCCCTGGGGGACACCCACATCAATATCTACAAAATTAGAGGCATAGCTTCTTGTACAATTTCCAGAAATATTATTTATACTTACATATTGCTTCCTCACAAATATGTATGTTTTCAACCAATCCAGTGCTTTATTTTGTATCCCAATGTCATGTAATTTACTCAAAAGTTCAACATGATCAACACAGTCGAATGCCTTGCTGAGGTCACAAAAGATGCCTACAGGACACTCGCCTATGCTGATCATATTAATAAGAGTGCTATAGAAAGACTGAACTGCATCAGTTGCACATCTGGAAGTCTGGAAACCATATTGATTTTTCGAAATTATGTTATTTTTAGTAAGATAGACGTTCAACCTCTGCAGATAACAGTATTCGAATATTTTCGAGAAAACTGAAGGTACAGTGATAGGTCGATAATTCTTAACATTTTGATGATCTCCTTTTTTAAAAACAGGGATTACTTTACCCTTTTTAATATACTCAGGGAACACTCCATTGCAAAATGATATATTAATCAAATGGGTAAGAGGTGAGAGAATAGAATTCAAAATTCTTTTAATCAAAAAAGAAGGGACATCATCAAATCCTGAGGAAAAGGTATTTTTCAATTTTTTTGAGACAATCTCGAATAATTCTTGTTGGGTATAAGGTACTAATGAAAATGTTTTTTCTGCAAGATAATGGCCATCATTCTTGTTCAGGTCAAAAGAAGTTGTTACATAAGTGCTACGTGATTTACCGAAAGTATTTATCAGTGGGGCATTTTTGAAGTAAAGATTAAAATAATTGCTTATATATACAGGATCATGGACCAGGGTATCAGACTCATTTTTAATTGACATATTTGAGAATACTTTATTTTTGTTCCCAATTTCAGATATAACTCTCCAAGCCGATTTAGTTGGATTCTCAGAGTTGATAATTCTATCTTGATAATACTGTTTTTTTGTTGAACTTACCAAATTGTTGTGAATTTTCTTTTGCTGTTTGTAATAGTGTTTTACTTCTGGGATACTTTGAGACAGAAAATGGATATTCTTCAAGTTATCACTTGATTTTCGAATATCATTAGTAATCCACCTATTGTTGTTGCTTTGTACCTGCGTCTTTAATAAAGGAAAATATATGTTGAAATGATATAAGAATGCTTCAATGAATAATTCAAAAGCCCTATTCACATCAAATGTATCAAAAATGGATGTCCAGTCCTCTGTATATAATGCAAAATTAAATGTTTCAATTGCATAAATAATAACTATTTCGTCATCTTGGATAGTCCGCCATACTGGATCCAGAATGACGTCACATTATTTTTCGAGTTGCTCTCATTTGATACCCATATTGTAGAAGTGCATCAAAAAGAACTGTTCCGTCATTTTGGATGGTCCGCCATATTGGATTTGGAATGACGTCACATTATTTTATGAGTTAGTTTCAACTAGACTTCCTAAATGTACTTGACACTGCTGTGCAAGCCCTTTCGTTTGATACCCATATTGTAGAAGTGCATTGAAGATAATTATTCCGTCATTCTGGATGGTCCGCGATATTGGATTCGGAATGACGTCACATTATTTTTCGAGTTTCTATCAACAAGCCCTTTCATCTGATACCCATATTGTAGGAGTGCATTAAAAATAACTATTCCGCCGCCCTGGATGGTCCGCCATATTGGATTTATAATAACGTCACAGACATTATCGTGCATTGTCAACCAACGTGTATACAAAATTTCAGCTTAATTGGTTGAAGATATCTACTTCCAAATTGAGTTCAAAGATTCCACCTGAACAAACATACAAACATACATTGCAAGTTAAATGAAAGCTTTTAATAATTGATAAAAAAATAGTCTACTCACCTACTCCGACATGATGAGTGACCATTTGCCGGCTGAAGTGGTACGTGACAACCGTTGTGACAAGTGATAAGTGACAGCTTTTCAAATGATTAATTCGATTGATAATCCGCAGGGCGAGAAGTACAACGACATCCCGCTGCTGTACAACCAGGAGGACTACGACAAGCTGATTGACAACGGCATCGATCCGCTGCTGGCAGGGCACATCGCGCATCTCTTCATTAGGGACACCATGTCTCTGTTCTCGGAGAGGATCCATCAGGATGATGAGAACGAAACGGATCACTTCGAGGTAGGGAATGAAGGGACGAGAATCCCAGAAAAAAGGAAAAATGTATCGAAATGTTGACACAGATTCTATACATTTGGACATGACCTTCCGAAACACCGACATATTTTATTTTTGACGTGATAGCGACATTAGCAACAATCCTAAACGCCAAACGATAAATGAATGAGATCGCGAATGGTGGGGATAGTTTAGCAGTCATTGCCAGAGAAATATTTTTTCTTCACCTATTTGGAACTGTCTAATCATATTGATTCACAATAGTATGCTTGAGATTTATAGTATTGAATGAGTTACTGAAACAACAGAAACACAAAAGCCAGAAAATCGTTAATAACAAGTTCACAGCGATTATTGCTCGTATATACTTTGAAACTCTCCAGTTTATCTTGAATCAATTCATATTCTCTATTTTTTTTGTACATATTTCATGGCTTTCTGGTCGAAAGATGTTGTTTTCAATATATCAGTTTTTCTTTTTTAAATATACATATACGTAGATTTGTCAATCAATAGTCAGCTTATGAATTTGTTGCCAAGATATCATTTTCAAGTCAATTTTTATATCATCAACTACATCATTAAATTCTTTGGAGGAATGGATTATTGTAGTATCATCTGCAAATAACTTAATATCTCCTTTTAGTTTCAAAGCTGATATTGAATTGATGTAAATTGAAAATCAAATTGTTCCTAAAACGGAACCTTGTGGGACACCACATTTGATCTCTCTCATGAATTAGTTTTCTCGACCTCTCTCATTCTTATTAATATTATTTTTGCAGAATATTCAATCAACCAACTGGCAAACTATGAGGTTCAAACCTCCTCCTCCAAACTCTACCATCGGTTGGAGGGTGGAATTCAGACCTTGTGAAGTCCAGATCACGGATTTCGAAAATGCCGCCATAGTGTGCTTCATTGTACTTCTAACTCGGGTGATACTCTCCTACCAGCTCAACTTTTTGATACCCATCAGCAAGGTAAATTTATTTCCAGGAAATGTTTTCTATGAACGTTAGATCGGAAGTTTGTGAGGTGGAGAGATGAAACTTAACCGATTGACGACTAGCGCTACCGTATGGTAACCCTCGAATTCCGTCAAAAAACGATTATTCATCAGGTTGTTCCTTGTCTCATAAGAAAATTACTGTTCTCAGATTAACATTTATATAAAATTTTATCTCATTTGAACTAGGTACCTATTACAATTAATAGGGAAGATTGCTTTCAAATGAGTTTTCATCAAATTGGTTCAACACTGATTAGCTTCATGTTTTGCAATCTGGAATGCCCATTGAAATTATTCAAATTATTTCTATTTGAGAACTAAACTAACTAGAAATATTTAGGCGGTAAACGTTGACGTAATCGATTAATCTAGTTTGAATATAGGTAAATGAAACCAAAAATGAATCAGAAGGTTGCGTTACTCGCGTGCATATAATATGACAGATGACAGACCCCGGAGGTAAAACCTCACTTTTCTTATTTGTTTCCAAGGGATTGAAATAGTTCTTCAGAATTATTTTGGCATATGAGTCGTGTTTCTTGGAAAATTAATTTATTCAAGCATGTCATCCCATTGTACAATGCACAAAAAATGCAGCGAGAGACGAGCAAAATAGATTTTTCAGGTAAATTATGATAAAAGAATATGGGATGTTCCATTCAAAAATCGAAAGTAGGTATCATTTCCGGTCAAACCGGAAGAACGGCATAGCGAATAAACATGTCAAAAAATGGAAATTGAACTGTAATAAAGTTATATGGGTGTGCCACCTCAGAAAATCACCCGTATATAGACCGTAAATAAATAACAGTTAACAATGAGAACATAACCTCAATGAGTACGCAACTATCAGTATAAAGTGTGGTGTAAAGTAGTTCCAGATGAAAATGTGGAGGCGGTGCCAGAATCCATTCACTAATCTCTTGAATACAATGAAAATGGAATTAAAATTTCAGTTGATTTCGTGTTTGATGCATTTTCCAGAACAGTGTAATTTTTGTTTTCAGGTAGATGAGAACATGCAGAACGCTCAGAAGCGCAACGCGGCCAGAGAACAGAAATTCTGGTTCAGGAAAGACGTGACCACTCACGTCAGTCCTCCTGCGGCCAACGAGTGCTGCAAGACCGGCTCCAGGAACTGCGAGGAGCCCCAAAACTGTGATATGTTCGTGCAGATGTCGGTCAATGAAATCATCAATGGAAAAGTAGGTGCCTACTTTTTTCCTTACCACCTATACCTTTATGATATTGATATTTTCTCGTATAAATAGTATTTGATGCAATTATTAATCACTTAAAATCACCACAAATGATTTTTAATAATAATATATTGCACTTTCCGTAAAGGAGTTGTAGGAATAATAGTATTCCGAGTAGTATTCTGAATAAAATGCCTAAATTTTATACCTACGCCTATGGTAATCTGACGATGCCGGTTATTGTTTGTGGTAGCAACCGTGTGATTTTTTTCCTAGAGAGAGATGACAGTCGTTAGTCAAAAAAGTTAAAACGTGGTCCGAACAATGTCTGAGATGTGAATGAGAGGAGGAAGATTCGATGCTGTTCAGTATTGTTTCAAATGTTACTCGTTCCGAATGGTTATGGTTAAGGAAACGAATGGATCGTTCATTTTCTAATAACCTAGTTGGTGCCCCACGTTGGGCGCCATATCATCGTTATTTTTTGTAGTTACGACAAACTCAGGTATTTTGGATGAACGTTGAAGTTTTGGATAAAAAGGCTCAGGCTTGGTAATTTGAACAGTTTCGTATTCAATAATTATTACAAAGTTGCGAATGGCACTCTCAAATTGGACTATTGGACTACCCTGTGTAATAAATCATGAATCAGCATTGAAGACTTATTTATAAATTAGCACCAATGGTCGTTTGTTTTCAGGAAGGGGAATTCCCGGGCCTTATACCCTTAATAAATAGTTATTTAAGCAGCATGGACGTGGACGCAGATACACACTGTACAATTCAGCAATACCTAAAATTCATACAGCGAAGGGCATCAGGGGAAATTCTGACGACAGCTTCTTGGATAAGAAAATTTGTCACAGAACATAAGGATTACAGGTGAATAAAACAAGATAATGAATGTTATATTTATAGAAAATATAACCTTAGTTTTTGGAGTGTGATGCTCTTCTATGGTAGAGATGAATGATTTACATGAAAGCGTAGAGCTAAAATAAAAGAACTTGCAGTAACTCCAAATTCTGCAACTCACCGTTGCAATTAAAAGAAGAAGCGAATAAGTATATTAGAGAGAGAAATTGAGGGGCTATCGGGAATGATTGTTTACCAAAAGTTGACAGTTGTCATAGGTTGTCAAAAATACAAAGCATTGGCTGAGCCAGTTTTACACAACTAGAACTAGGATGACGTTAATTTCTCTGTTTAATAAGGTGTAATACTTGTAGGCTTTTTTATTGAATATAACTGTACAACTTGATCGGCGTCTTACAGTAGGAATGTAGAGGGTAGTTGGCTTCATTCTGACAGGTTATGAACGTAGCTCATTATTTATACATTGAAATTTCCGAAATAAAGCTCTATCCTAAACAAAAAAAAACATTGAATCAATGAATCACTATCGGCCTCATTTAATGTTATTATCCTCATTCACTGCCATCAGGTCAGACCAGAATGAAGCCGACACCCATGGCTCCTTCCTGGTCCGAGACGCTCGTACAACTCATAACTGGCAGTAATTCTAAATTTTGCGACTTATAACTCACAATGATTTGAAATACTTCGACTTCCAATTTTGCTGGAATTATAAAATTCTACGGTATTTGTAAAAACCAGCGAAACATAGTAGCAGCAGTAGCAGCCATGAAACACTCAAAGCGCCAGCTATCAGATTTATTATGAAACTGACGTAAGCTTCTCGTGAATTCGAATCAGTGGAAGCAGGCGAAGGATATCAGTCAGACTTGGGTCGAATACTGAAATCCGGTATTCGAATACGAATCCTGAATACTGTACTCTAAATTGTATTCGAATACTCAAGATTCGAATACAAAGAAAAAAAAGTATTCGAATACCGCTGTATTCGAATACCGGGATTCATTCACATATGAATATTTCATGAATATTCCAACTGAAAAAAAAAACATCTGCGCACATAAAGCTCCTTTATATTTATGTATGTAGTTTATTTAAAAAATATATAAAAAAATAGAAAATCTATCACAATGAGGTTAAATACAAAACATTTTATAATTTCCATTTCTTAGTTTTATTTCAAAAAATTATTCAAAATAAAACGATATTCAATTTATAAATGAAACTTAAAATGAAGTACTTTGGTACATTGGATAACAGTAAGGTAACACAAAATAATTGTTTAGCAAGATAATAATGGAAAATAATCTCAAATAATAAATAAAACTGAAAATAAAATTCATTTCATTTCAAATGAAACATTAAGAACTAATAAAATATATAGGAATCTCATAAAAACAGACTATTACTTCAACAGAAAAAAAACACCCATCAAAAAGAAACATAAAGATTAAGAATTTCCTTTACCATACCCGCAAAAGGAAACAATCCTTCTACTGGAGCAGACGACGGTAATATAGAGTTATATTTTGAAAATTTTTGCTCAATTGAATGGCAATCATCTGGAATTCAGAAGCGCCGGAGCGTTACCACCGATACGTCTCAATTTACATATGATCGACCAATAAAATATCGCGACGGCTCCGTTTTTCATAGAAATAATTGAAAAGTATCCGAAAACAGGATTCGAATACAGGATTTGGATATCGGGATTCGAATACAGGATCGAATACCAGGATTCGAATACGAAGTGGGTATTTGAATACTGGGATTCAAAAACGGTATTCAGAATCCAGAATACTGAGTACTGACCAAAAAAGTATTCAGTCGAATACCGAATACCAAATATACAAATGTATTCGAATAGTATTCGAATACCAGCCAAATGTATTCTGAATAGGATTCAGAATACTGGGTATTCGAATACTACACAAATCTGATATCAGTCACATTATTTCTAAATTCTTTGTGAAATAAGTTGCTATGAAAGCATAAATGAGCGCCATAGTTTTTTTTTATAATTGACAGATACTAAGTATCACCTAGCATAATTGACAAATCACTAAGTGTCAACTATTCTAACTGACATATACTAAATGTTAACTAGACTAAATGACACTTAGTTATTTGTCTATTAGGCTAGTTGGTACAAAACCAAGTATTTATTCTTGAAAAAAAATAATTATCCGATCTGGAGGAATTGTTACCGAAAGGAGACAGACCTCCAATAAACCCAAAGACAAGAAGAAGAAGAAGGTATCTGTCTGTCTGACAGTGGCAGTGATTTGAATCATTGCAAGTTATAAGTTGCAGTATTTTGTGCTTTTGGAAATTTTCTCAATATAAATTATTTCCTTTGCCCAGAATTGGTGATAAAAACACTGTTTTTTTGCAGGCAAGACTCAGTAGTAACAGATAAAATAAACTATGATCTGCTGAAGACCCTAAACCAAATTCAAGCTGGAGAACTGCACTGCCCTCTGCTGTTAGGAACAAGTACCATGTCCAAAACTAATGATAGTGTCCCAACGGCATTTACTAAATAAGGATAGTACCTACTCATTTTTTATTGCCTTTTTTTATGTACTTGACATTCAAAGTGATCTTGTTGAAGTTCAGATTTGTTGAAGAAAGTGGTGCTATATACAGGGTAAGTTGAAAAATCGAGAAGTTTCATATTATGGGGGGCCCTTTTGTTTTATGTAATAATAATAACATTCAAAGTGATCTTCTTGAAGTTCAGATTTGTTGAGGAGGGTTGTGCAATAAACAGGGTATGTAAAAAATCGAGAAGTTTCATATTATGGGGCCCCTTATTCTGTTTCATGTAATGATAAACATCACTTCATTTGGCAAGTGTTTTAAGTTTTGTTGAGTGTTTTGTAATTGTTTACTACTTTTGCAACCTTTTTTATATTTTTTTGGTATACGATTAATTATCAGTATTTCATAATAAACAGGGCATTTAGATATTTTACATAGTATAATTTGTTAAGATAGTATTTTCAATTGATATTTTCATAGATTTGTTGTTATTTTTGATCATGTTTTTTATAATAATAAAATTTTTCCAATGATTCTTGACATTTATTCATTACAGTAGATAATTGATTTTTCATCCTTCCTCAAGGATAACTTTCATGATTTCATTAAGAAATAGATAAAGATGTCAGTTGCCTGTATACTCTGAATCCTCTTCCAGACAAATTACTCATGTAGTTTTGGTTTTTGACTGACCCCAAGCAATATCAATAGAAATACAGAGAAATCGAATACTGTCAGCATTGGCAGGCAAAACCATATTATAACAAGTAAAAACTACTATTGTCAAAATACTCAGGAATGAAATGTTGATGAGAAGCAGAGATTATACACTCCCCACTCCACCATTCAGCATTCAGGTCAGCAGTTTACCTCTCGTCATATCTAGTAAACAGATAATCTGATTCGGCTGGAGTTTATTTGCCAGCATTCTATTCTATTCATAAAATACAGCTCCAAAATCAGAAAATTCGAAAAATAGGTTTTTTCTTTCTATATTTTGTATTTGTCAGCGTTAATTTTTCTCATAAAAAATCCAAAATTGTCATATCTATTGAGCTATTGAGCCAATGATACGATTCGGCTCCGGTTTCTTTGTCAGCGTTCATTTCTGTCATAAAATACAGCTCCAAAATCAGAAAATTTGAGAAAACGAATTCTTTCATGTAATTTTTTTTTGTCAGCATCATTTTTCTCATGGTACCCTTAGGAAATTCAAGATGGCGGATCTAATATATCGGACGAGTTTTGTAATTATGATTCAATTCTATTTAAAATTGGTATCTAGGGGTTTTCGGAGTCGGAGATTATGATTCTTTGGTCAGAATTTGAAAATTCGGGCGGAATTTGGAAATTCAAGATGGTGGAACCAATATGGCAGACGAGTTTTGTAATTATAATCCGATTCTTTTCAAACTTGGTACCTAGGGGTTTTCGTGATCGGGGATTATGATTCCTTCGTCAAAATTAATAAATTCAAGATGACAGATTCTGTAATTAGGATCCGATTTTATTCAAATTTGGTATCTGGTGGTTCTCGGGGTCGGAGATTATGCGATTCTTTCGTCAAAATTAGGAAATTCAAGATGGGGGGACCAATATATGGCGGACGAGTATTGTTATTATGATCCGACTATCTTCAAAATTGTTATCTGGGTGTTTTCGGGTCGGCGATTATGATTCTTTTGTCAAAATTGCTTTCCTCGTGGCAGGTAGTAAAGTAATCCTAATTTCTCAATATAAAGAAGGAATATTATGTGTTGTGGGTGACGTCACATGACCTCGATGTTTGAAGATTCGCCAGTTTAGCTTTTGTTTGTTGGGATAGGTTAGAAGCAAGTTAGAAGGTTAGTAAATTCTACTATGCTAAATATGATGCGACTTTATAGCTTAGTCAAAGAAGATTAACGCTGTTCGTGTATAGCGTTAATCTTCTTTGGCTTAGTCACAGAATACTCAACGATACTCTTTAATCGAGCCGAGAGCCAAGCAAGGTAAGTAAGGATGCGGACTGATAGAAATTCAACACCATAACTGTAGGTGATTCACAAGATCATCTCCAATATATTACTTATTGCATTTATTGGACCAGTATTTAATAATAGAGTCAAGCTATCAGGAATCAACAAAAAGGTATACCCTATACTGTATCAAATATATAGGTGATATGTATAATTAAAAATAATTCGATACTGCGTTTTTGAAACTGAAGAGTAGGATATAATTATTGGTGATTTTCAATAACAAAAAAAAAAGAACTTATTTTTTTGCCTTCTTACTACTTGACATTCTAAGTAATCTTGTTGAAGATCAGATTTGTTGAGGAAAGTGGTGCAATATACAGGGTAGGTTGAAAGAATGCAAAGTTTTATATTAAAAGGGTCCATCTGGTTTATGTAATAATAATCATCATTTGGCAGGTGTTTCAAGATTCAATATGATAAATATCAGTATTTTATGATGAACAGGGCATTTAGATATTTTACATAGTATTTGCAACTGATAGTTATGATTCTTGATAATTCATTACCTACAGAAGATTTATGAGCTCCAGTTGAAGATATTAAAAAGCTGTGATTTTTCAGGTTGGTAATTTTATTAAGGTTTCATAAAATAAAACTATAAAATGAATAAACTATATAAATTATACATGTGGAAATATTTACACACATTTTATCACATTATTGTCACTCTATCACATAGTAAATTGGGATTATTATGTTCACAAGCTGGGCATTCAAATTTAGAATCTGCAACCTGATTACCCTGTAACAAATTTTTCAAAATATTGTTAATTAAAAAATAGCGAAAATAGGATGTATTTTTTGGAAGAATATCAAGAAATAATAAATTATGTTGATCCAGAATACATTGTTTTTTACCTTCAAACAGACATAACAGAAGATATGTGAACATCCCATATGGTGTGGTAAAATTGGATTTTCACCACAATAGGCACATTTTGAATGCATTGTCATTGATCTATTGGCCACAACAGAATATTTTGTCTTTACATGGAATGGATTTATATTTCTTATTGCTCTCTTGATTTTATGATAGTTTATTAGTGGTAGGATGAATACTAACAGCTCCTAGAAAAAGTAAATAGCATGAAATAAATTTCAAATAATTTTTTTTCTAATAATTTAATGATTATGGAGATTAAACTACAAAATACTCACTATGAAACCATTCCACAATAGCTCTCTTGCTAAATATTTAGATTCATACTGTCTTTGTACATTATCAGTAGCATATACTTGATTTAGACACAGAATCCTTTCAAGAAGCAATGGTTTGACTCCATTTCTCAAAAATATGGATAAATTGATGAAGTCCAACAACTTTATAACAGTGTATATCTTGAAAATGGTGTTATTAATGTTGTGGGATGGGGCAGTGAATTCTAGTTTGTTCTTGACATATTCAAAGCAGTTTGCTATGAGATATAATATTTTCTGAGCACTGTTTATTTTATGGTATCTGATTGATAACAATTGTTGGCCAAATGTGCTGCCTTCCTTACACAATGAGCTATGTAACAAAGCAAGGTGGAGAAGTAGCTTCAGTTCAGGTTCATATGGGGCGATGAATCCTGGCTGAAAACATTACCTAATGCACTTTGAAACAGGCCCAAATTGTATCATACTCACAGGCAGATTTCGAGTTGAATCTATGAATAACTGATATAAAGTTTTGAATATTTCTTTGTCCAGATAAACGGCATTCATTTGGGTCACACGTAATAAATTAGTTTTACCCATGTCGATATCAACCCCCGATAGAACTTCTCAACTCACCAACAAAATAGAACAGAAAATTACAAAATAAATATTATTATCATTTTCAGTTATAACATTTTTCTAAACATAACCTAAGAATTTGAACACATCTCACATCTTCTTATTTTTAATAGAAAAAGATGGAAGAGGCCCAAGGAAGAGGCCTAGCAACGAATAAAAAGAAGATGTCACTAAGCTTTACACCTTTGCCAACTAGGTTAGGTTGGAATTTTAAAGACAGATCGGAAGATGTCTACCAAAAACAATTCAATAGATGCTCGCCAAGAATTGGCAGAGCTAGTGAAACGAAAAGCTGAAATTGGAGTAAGAATGCTCTTATATTTTGATTTACAGATATAAAATTCCACTGTATTCCTATTTACCAGCTGCAATACTGTTTTGGTGATCGTCTTCCATATCCAATATTGAATGAATGCCCTAATTAATTGCTGGATGTAATAATCCTATAGTTTTCCATCAATTTAGCTTCATAAAGAATAATGAAAACGCCAATGATATGAAAAATACATAACCATTAACTGGTTATTGGAAAACAACCTAACAGTTCTTAAAGCAACTTTTCCACTTTTAGGAAACACTTGCAAATTTGGAAAAACAAATTTATGCTTTTGAAGGATCCTATCTAGAAGATACTCAGCTCTATGGCAATATTATCAGAGGATGGGACAGATATCTGTCCAGTAATAAGACTACAAACTCCAAAGCAGATAAACGCAATAGGAAATTCAAAGAAGCTGAAAGATTATTCTCAAAATCATCAATTACATCAATGGCAGTATGTATAGTATTGAAAGAATAATGAATCCACTTATCTGATATTTGTTCATTACAGGCTGTAAGTGGGATTGTTGACCAAAATCCAGATAAAAGTAAGAATTCTTATGAAACTGAGACTACCAATCCCTATGCATATAGTAGTAGTTGATGTAAAAAGTGTTAAGTATATTTAGATGTTCTAGTAGGTAGTTCATATTAGTTCTGTTTTGTTGTAACAGTACAATTTTAATATATTTTTATAGTTTTTATTAAATTATTTCACAAGCATTGTTTTTTTAGTTTTGCACAGTCACCTTGTATAGCTTTTTTGTGGGTGGATTTGGATTGAATTTTATTATTTATCCTTTCATCACATGAATCACCTTGTTCCTGCATGTTGCATGAGATATTTTTACTTTGTTTTGCTTAGGGTCGGGCCTTCAACTAATTTTGATTCAAGTTATGTCTGTGCTTTGTGATGTCTGTAACAAACAGGTCTAAAACTGATCTTGAACTAATAGTAATTTCTCTAGTGGACAGACAGAGTGAAACAGAATCTCTAACAAATGAAGACTCCAGTGACACAAACATGGGATCCTTAACTAACCACATTGACTCCAGTATCAAAACTGCAGGAAAACAATCTACTAACTCTAATTCATTTCCCAATGGGGTCCAAAATGGCTTGGACAGAAACAGTCCAATCACAGACACCTCAGCCAAACAGAAAAATTTCCCTAACAGTGCTAAGAAAAACAATAACAAGAAAGCTAGGCATAGATAACAAAATAAGTGATTTGGAAACAGAAACAGGACATGATGTTGCACAGTATTTTGTATATTTTGAACTAGTTATGTGTGTTTGTAATGGATCATTTGAGGCTATACACTTGAAAAGACTTAAATGTAAATACATGTATTATAGTAGCAGATGTTTATGTTATCTTCCCCATCAAATTTTGACTAAAAATATTGTTTAAAAAATCATTTGAAAATCTCTATATGAAAATGAACAAATATTTGAAGGATGAAATAGTGGAGTGCTACTGCTATTTTTTCTGGCTTGCCTCTTGAAATGAAGACAAGGAGAAAAAGATTCATTGTTTAAATAATTTATATTAACATCTGAATAGGAGTATTATCACAAATTGTATACTTACAGGTAAAAATAGTTATATAAATAGGTAAATTTCGAATATACAAAACAAACAAATATACAAATGTTACAATGAAATTTACAATATTTGCCTCCATGAAATTGGTAACATAAAAATGAATATAAGAATTCCTAAACATAAAATACCCTTTGAATTGGACATGGTATTGTGAGAATCAAAATAATATGAATCACTCACATAAGGTATTCCTCAGGTTCCTGATACAGTCAATGACTCAGCAAATCTTGATTCTGAAAATTAAGAAAATTCTCATTCTTGCACATGAATCATTTACACAGAAATACTGACGCTGTATTATTGTTGGATCTTTCTTCTTCACATATAACTGTGCTATCAAGTAAAAGACAGCTGGAATTATTATGACTAGTACATTCAAGAAAATGAATGTATATTCAGTATGTTCCCGGTATTTACAACAGCTTGTACTCCAAAATGACCAAGTTGTGTTCATCTGAAATTTCATTCAAACAGGTAAGTATTAACAACATAACAACTTTTTTGTGTGGTCCTTTACTTACTATATCAACAAGATCCATACAGAGTCCTATTTTCTCATTGTATTTACTTATACTACTATAATAATCTCTTAAAAGAATGTAATTGTTCATACAGTCAGGACATAGGGTATCAGCATCTTTAGTGTCATTAACACAGCTCATAAAAATATTGTAGTACTTTAGGAATTGTACAGTTTCATTGGATTGTTTTCTGGTATGCTGTCCATTTTCAAAAACAAAACATTCATGACATTTTGCCCTGTTCCATAAATCTAAACTGTTTTGGTATAAGGTTTGTAAAATTTCAAGCCTATCCAAGTTGATGAAGTGGTTTAAACAAGAACTTCCATTGATTACATCCTAAAAAGTACCTATATGCTCATAATCTTACATTTGGATTTGAAAATGATAGAAATATCACCTTAGACATATTGGCATAACTTTCTACAACATTTGAATATATGTCCACACAGTTTTCACATAATGTTATAGGTCTTGAATGCTGAATTGCACAGTATGTGAAATTGGCATTGGCAATTGCAAAATTGTTCCTTATCTCTGTGCAGTTATTAGAGGTGCTTTTGTCCATGAATGCTGAAGATGTTCTAAAATATCATAAGTGTTTTTGGAATGATAAAAAAAAAGTGATGAACTTACATGATACCCTTTAAAAATAATAACAAAAATACATTATTTCTATACATTTTCAGTAGTAGACAAATATTCCATCATCCTTTGTCACTTGTTCCTAGTCATAGTCATAACCATAATATATTATTATGATATTTCACTTTACTCAATGCTTGAAGGAGATAAGGAATGTTCACTAATTACTCAACATTATTCAATATTATAAACATTATTACCACTATAACCAGTCACCACAAAATTTAACAGGTTTTTACTGATCGTGCACCACAACACCCATATTTTCACATATTTATTCATAGCAATCATAGCCATAGCACAACAATGGCACAACAGTCACAACACAAAAAACAAAAAGGAAGAAGGAAGTGTATAGACAGCCGACCAGTCGGCAATCTATAGTTTTTTTTTAGGTTGCCGAACGGTCGACAGACTATAATTCTCTTGTTTATGATGCCGACCCAAGCCGACCATTGTGCCGTTTCTAAATAATTATTATATTTTCAGGATTTTATTAATTTTAAGAAAGAAAAAACATGATAAATAATGAAATATACACCAAATTCGTGATAGAAAATAAGCGTATGCCACCTATTTAAGTTTACTTTGTTTTTATTGGTTCACATATGTTTTTTGTGTGTGCTTCTATCTATTGGGAATAAAAAAATGAAAATGGAGGAAGAGAAAACTAGATTAAAACAAAACGAAAATAAAGAGAAAGTGATGTATACTCAACCCGAACAGACTTACCGATTAGTGAGAGTGAACAAAAATCTGATGAAAAAAAAATGTATTGGTAAAAAAATGAAAAAAAAAATAATACTATTCCACGTGGGATTTGAACACGGGACCACAGGATCGACAAGCCAATTGTCGGCAGTCTAGAGAAAAAGTATACCTATAGTCTGACGACTAGTTGCCATTCCAAAACAAAAGTATAGACTGCCGACCAGCCGGCAGACCATACTTTCGATCTTTATGGGTTGCCGATCGATTTTATAGAGAAAAAATGTATTCCTCTAAATGGTCGGCAGTCTAGAAAAAAAAGTATAGGTTGCCGACTGGTTCAAGACAATTTTCCATTTCCCAACCTTGACAGTAGGCGTAAGTCCTTTCAGTCCTTTCTATGGCATGAAAAGTGGGCATTTTTGTACTTCGGTTAATGTGTTTCTGAAATAAATTGTGTATAATCCACCTTTGTTCAACAAATGCGAGATAGATAATAGCACAGTATACACCCTAGCGGAAACTAGGGTGTATACACTGTGATAATAGATATACACAGCCATTGTTTCAGACATGATGAAAATCGACTGGTGTAACCACTTGTCAATTGTTTCTTTCCAAAACGTGTAGACCGCGAAACACCGTAGCAAGGCCGCACCGGATTGACTGTAGATGGCGTAGGGAACATCGTGCCACATATACTTCACAGATATAATGAAAATTTCACGTCTTTTTCATTAAATCAATCACTTTTTCTCAATGTTTTTGAATTACGAATTAATATACGTAAATGTAAACAACAAAACAACCATTGTGTAGCAAGATCACTTCGGGAACAGCGCCATCTAGCGTTAGTTTTGCGCGGCCTTACTACGGTGATAGAATTCGACATAATCAAGTAGGCCAGAGGTCTACAAAAATTTCTAGGGTTTTGTAAGAGGGAGCTATTTCACCATCCACCTTTGTTTCAGACGCTTTTTTTTTTAGACATACGACTACGCCGACCGGGTTCCTACGCAGATTTTTATAGATCGTAAACCGACTGCCGGAAATTAACTTGTAAATTGTAAATTGTAAACAATATAAAAATATAAAACTGAAAACGAAAACCGCTATGAGCTATGAGTGATGAAGATCCTCTTGTTCTACAAAAAAAACTTTATTTTTTGCTAGACCAATTACAAAACATGGCTAGAGAATTGCCTCCGTAAGTATATGACCAAAATTTTGAATTCCATTGAAAATTGGCACCTAAAAACAATAAAAACATGTTCTTCCTCTAGAAAATACCAAATGAGATTACCTTATGAACTCTTATCAAGTCTTGCCAATTGTCTGCTAAATGAAACAGTATTTGAAATTGTGAAAGGTCTCTTGGAAATCCAGCATGTTACTGAACAACATCTCTACCAACAAAGACTGCAGTTTATAAACCAGAAGAAAAGTAAATAAACTCCCAGATAACCTCTCTAATGTAGGGAGTCTGTAATGGTCTGTAAACCCAGAAATATTGTGATTTTTTTTCAGTACAAGAACAGGAAATACTGAAGCATTATGAGCATGATACCAATAAAAAAATTGAACAGCTCCAAAAGTTCATGATGCAACAGAAAGAAGAGTTGAAGGTTTTTGACATGAATCTAGTGTTGCAATTAGATCAAAAAGTAGCTGATCAACAGCAAATTCTAGAGCAAGCAGGAGTTCCAGGATTCTATGTTACTAAAAATCCTCTAGAAATCAAGGTCCAAATGCACTTATTGGACTTTTTATTGAGGCTAAGTCACATGCCAATACCAGTTTAATATAATGAATATGATTGGGAAACATCAATTATTGAAGAGAAAGACTCCTACTGTTGGAGTATCAGTTTGGAGGATTGTGTTACACTGAATAACCATTTCAATGAATCCAGAGGCAGATCAAAGGAACATTATTTCTATTCATATATTAAAAGAACATGACTTGGTTCTTCTATATTATTATTCTTCATTATAAATATCTTCAGATGAATTAATAAAACTTGAATTTAACATGTTTGTTTTCTGAATATTCACACCATATGGGAGAAATAAAGGTGCATATCAAAAAGTCAAGTTTTTAATCTGCTATATTTATTATATACATCAACAACCAACACTATCAATATACTATAATGTATAACAAAAACAAAAAGGTACTTGCAGTTCCAAGTAATTTCGTTACTTGTGCTATGACATGGAAAATAATTATACAATTATTTAGGATAGGTTGCACAGGGGACCCTTCAAAACTCAATTTTTATGTCCTATATAAAGTCCATCTCTTACCATGACTAAATTCCCATTCTATGCAGGATATAATATCCTTCATGAACCTAATTAAAAAAACCAAGCACCTATCACTTGAAACTCCTTAGTGAAGTTCAAGTTGAGTGAAAAATCAATAAATCAAAAAACACAGTGCACCTTAAAAAATAAGTTGAAATGAAACCGTTTTCAATCTTCAAAAAGCTACCGCTACCGTTCATTTTATGGAAGACCAAGGTAGGTATTAAACAGTATTAAAAAAAAAGAACTGATCAACACAACAAGATTATGCAGTGTCCCATTTTTTCGTCAAAATGAATGTCATGTTCAGTGTCTTTCACAGGCCTCTCAAAATTCGCGATTGGCAAAAAGATACTTGACCACCTGATATTGCAACAATGGCAGTACATTTTGATACCAATAACTGGAAAAAATACAACAGGTGTTTCTCTTTATTTGGGCATGCACTATTTTAATTCCCTGCAGGGATATTTGAAGGTAGACGTCTTTGTGTAATTGGCACAGACATCAATTAACAAAATGGTTTTCTTGAGGCTCTAACTCACTCTAAGAATGGTTTTATTGGGCTTTTTTAGCTTCAGCAGATCCGCTAGAACCATAGGATGATCCTTTCTTTATTTCAGTCATGCCGATGGTTTTCTTCATCAAGATGAAAACTGAAAATATGCACTTGGAATGAGAAATATCTAAAACACATTATTTTTCATTTTTTCAATATTTTCTTTTCAGTTCAAAACAGAAGTTTACTCATTGGTAATAAAAGTTTTTGAATGCATTGTTTAGAAACATGGTCGGCTTGCTTCTGTGTGGGCAGAACACACAAAAATACTCAGTAGGCTACATAAAAAGATATCTGATAATTATTTAACAAACCATTAAACAAATTTTTGGAATTGAGAAGATAAATCATTATGCAGGAAACATGTTTGAGAGTTATGAGAAATCCATTACCAGTCTCTAATGAAAATTGAAGTCATCAAAATAAAACAGGAATGAAAAACTGTACTATCAGCGATTTTTTCAGGAAATGTCATGAAAAAAAAAGGATTATTGTTCAGTATTATTGTTACTTTTTGGCTTGACCAAGAATAAAAATAGGAAAGTTCAGCTAGCTTTGGGAAAGAAACAATATGTCTTCTCAGTTTGTCCTTGTATACTCAGAGTTCTAATTGAGATAAAATAATAAAAAGTTTATCTTAGCAACCAAAAAGAAAATTAGGACAAAGATCATAGGTCGCGTGCACGATGACCGACCCTGGAGGTAAAATATTGAACCACAACCTCACTTTTCTGTAGAACATTAAAACACAACCTCATTTTTGAGAAATCAAAGAGTTTTTCCCGCTGTATTTTTTGTGCATTTTATAACAGCACAATGTGATGGCATGCGCGAATTAATGTATAGCCAAAAAACACGATTCCTATGCCAAAATAATTGTGAAAAACTATTTCAATCACTTGTAAACAAATAAGAAAAGTGAGGTTGTGTTTCAATGTTTCACAGTCAGGGTCGGTCATCTGACATTTCTTGCACTCAACAAGGATGCACGCAAACGAAACATTAGTTTTATGAGACTACCCTCAATTTTCGATAATTTTAATGATAACACTTCAGAAATTCAATCTGATTTTCGAGGATATCAAAAAAACACTTACATGCCCCTATGATACTTGCTCCAATTGAGAAATAGAGAACTTCTCCGCTGAGGAGGAGCATCAACAGATAGTGCGCAATCGGTAACATGGCTACCAATTGCCAGAATATCACATGGAATATCGAGTGAAACCGTCTCGGGATCTCGAAGGGTTCCACCCTTTGCACGCCCGAAGTAGCGAAAAAGTCACCGGTTTTCAAAAAACTGTCCTTTAATTTGTCCTGAAAATAATAATACCTTGAATAAGTGGGATTACTTTTTTTAAATCTCTTGGAGCGCACGAAAGGGAATTCCTATGTTCCAGGAACATCCTGCGGACCTCTAGAGAGTATAGGAAGAGAAAGTATTGGATTTTTTTACTTTTAGAGATTGAAGATTCACGTGAATTTTCATTATTTAGATACTGCTCCACCCTGTAACAACATTCTGTTCTTGACAAAATGTTTCAATATTTTCTCAAATAAAGCGCGTTCTCTTTTTCATTGTTCACAAACGGTCAGAAGATTGATTGAAGGAATTTCGGATACATTCAAAAAACGCAGATATTAAAATTTCTCAATAACTTATTTTTAAAATCAAAATAACAATTTCTATTTTGGTATTCACAATAGAAAATAACACGTCGCTCCACCTGACGGCAACAACTTGAAGACTCCTGAGCTGTTTGTTTTGATCATGTGACCAATAACAAAAACAGAAAACAAGTGTGAACCAATGAAAACAAAGTAAACAGGCCGGTTTGACAGCTTTCTAGGTTTATTTTCTATCGCGAATTATATTGGCATTGTCAAAGAGATTTTCAACTCTGCCATTTTTTCCATAATGATACAAGTGTAGAGAAGACTTGGCAGCTTTTTTTATAATGTAATCAGTTTGTAGTGAATCTCATTTTTGAAGGTTATAATGTGAAAGACCATTGTTCTAATTCTTCAGACAAAAATATTGATATTGTGAACATTTTTTTATAGAATCTTCTGTAGTAGTCCATGCTCAAAGTGGAGTGGAATGATATCAATAGAGAAAGAAACCCAAAGTCGTCTCCACAATATTTGTGGAGACGACTTTGGGTTTCTTTCTCTATTGATATTTTTTTATAGATTATTATGATTTTCCTGAACACCATCATATTACACAGATAGTAAAATGCATCCTTTTGTATCAAGTTCAAGAACAATGTATGACTAAAATTCCATGATAAGGTGTATCTGAGAGAGATACACTTCACTGATAAGTATTGTGAAGGGAATCTAAATTTGAAAGAATTGGATTGATAAAGTGTGATGATGAACAAAGAACTTGCCGAGTCCAAAGTTAAAAAACATATACCGGGTGACACAGGGTATCGGGCCACCCCTGTAACTTCTGCTTTCGTCATCGGATTTCTCTGAAATTCGGTTCAGTTATATAAGCAATTATTTCGGATTTGATCACATTACAATCCAATATGGCGGACTTCCAGTATTTCTGGAAATGCCTGCAACTTTGTTTTTTCAAATGAAACACCCTGTATATATTTACATATTCGAGTTCAACAGGTCGTAACAAGTGCAATCTTTATTTCAAATGTCATTTTTTCGAAAAAAATCAAATTAAAATCGTTTTTTCATTTTACCTCGTGTATAAATGAGATGTGTTCAAGACTTTTCACAATGAGTCACACATAACAGAAGAACATAATTTTTTCTGAAAAATTATGTTTTGTGTCACTTATCCAGGAATCAATTCAGCCACATCACTTTTTGATCAGAAATAATTTTTTTTCAAATGGAACCCCTATGGGCCACCTACCTGTTTCTCTAGAACATACATTGAGGAACAAAATGAAATATCATTTTTGTTTTTCAGTGCAGTAACGAATTGTATACATTCAAAAATCAACAACTAGTTTATGAATATCCTTGCAGTTAGAATAATTTTTCAACTAGGTAGGCTGTGACATAAATGACATTTGACATCAAGATTGCACTTGTTTTGACCTGTTGAACTTGAATATGTAAAAATATACAGGGTGTTCCATTTGAAAAAACAAAATTGCTGGCATTTCCAGAAAAACCGGAAGTCCGCCATATTGGATTGTAAAGTGATCAAATCCGGAATAGTTGCTTATATAACTGCACCGAATTTCAGAAAAATCCGTTGACGAATGCAGAAGTTACAGGGGTGGCCCGATAGCCTGTGTCACCCGGTATATCATACTTGACATGTAGGTTGTTAAATTATCATATCCAATCTTCCAGACATGGAAAAATACAAGAAAAAATGAATATTGGAGATTTTTCTTGTGCAGAAAATATCAATTCAAATGCTGATGGTGATCTCTGCTAATGGTTGATTATTTGAAAAGAAGTGAAACTAGGAAAAAATAAATAATGTTGCAACATTTTTTCCTTCACACACTCACTTTTTCAACGAAAAGGTCCCTCAGAAACTTCTCCTGTTCAACTTTACCATCTGGAATGTTTTCCATCAGTATCCTTTTCATGTAGATATGTGCCTCCAAATGCTGCCCAAACAGCATGGTAGTAATTGTTGGTTTGCTTGGAGCATCTTCTTTGAAAGCCAACTCAATTTGATACAATGCGGGCACTTTGCCTAAGAGACACTATGTATTAGTGACTGAAAATACAGGGTGTACAATGAATAGAAGATAACCCCCATGGCCTTCCATAATTCAAAAAATCTTTTGGCTAAGAATCTCATTGTTTTCAAGATCAACTTTTTTATCAGCCAACCTGGTGTATACATCTTATGAATTGTTAAATATGCAGATCAATGATGAAGCTTTGGACTCTGTTTATGGCAATGCATCATGTTCAATAACCCTGTATAATAGAATAAGCGAAAAAATAGTTTTCAAAATGGTTTACTCCAAAGGAAGTTGATAAAAGAAGGTGAATTCTCTTCAATTTCTAATTTTGGTTGGAAATTGATAAAAATAGTCTCAATGGTATGAAAAATAACGAAAATCATTGGGCCAACACCATATTGAATCAAATTACTCATTATTACCAATAAATGCTGCAATCAACATGCCCCTTTCTTGTAACTTTCATACAACTGGGGTTCAACCTGAAGAAAAGGGGAATCAATGTTTAAGAAACTTTGACAAAATCAAATCAATTACTAAATTATGAAATGGAATTGTTCAGGAAACCTGGAAAAAATACTAGGGTGCAAATAAGAAAAAGGAAACATTGCTACAGCAAAAATTATTTTCAGTATTCTGGAAGGTAATGGAGACCCCTATCCACTATTAAGCAGTCACCCTGTATATTATAGACAAATGGCATGGCCTTTATTTCATATTCACCTTTCATAGGAGGCAAACTAGCAATGAACCCTCTAGATCTTGGCATCAAATGATGATTTAGTTCTGGGAGATTGTTCTTTATGGCAAATTCCTGGCTAGCTTCCAGTTTTTTCTTGGTAAACCTTGTTCCTTCAGGAAACATCAATAACTAAGATAAACAATTGTGGAGTTATTATCAACAGAGATCAAAAAGAATACTCATTTATTTTAATTATGTGGATATAATTTGAATTCACTCATTTGAATTTGTTTACAAAATATGTTCAAGTAAAAAAAGGTATCTTGATAGAATTCAATGAGGTAGGAAACAGTTCAGATCATTCCTAAAAGTCCCTTTTGAAATCTTATATATAAAGGATAAATATAAATTGCTCAGTTCAACTTCAATATTCAAAGGTTATGGACACTTTTTTCAGTAATTTCAAAGTACAGAAATTTGAACCTTTTGAAGATATTCTGAAAGTGAATATGGAAAAAGGGAAAGTCTAAAACATTCCATTCAGTTTTATCAGGTTTGGATCACATGATGAGGACTATTGATTTTGGGTTATATTTTCTAATGATAATATTAAATATTTTGAAGCAAATACGTGATCATTTGAATTCTTACATTTGTTTATGATATCATATTACTGGCATAAATAATTATGTCACAAAATCACACAAAAGCTCTGCAGGAATAATAGAAAAAACTATGATACATCAGTATCTACAAGGATTGATTAAGATTGAGGAAATCAATAAGTATTTTCTTCATTAGTAAGCAAATTGATTGAATCACTATAATCCAAATAGATTCAACATGAAAAACAAAGAAAAAAAAACAAAAAGTATTAGACATGTGTGACCATTGAACAAATAATCCAAAGATCACCAGCAGAAGTGTTTTGAGTAAATACTCACCCACATAGGATCAGGATGATCAGATAGTTCAGTGATTTGTTTGTGGATGACTTCCTTGTCCTTATCAAAGTTTCTTTCCAGAAATACAAATTCAGAACATTTCCAGGCCCATCCAAGGACAGGAACATACTGGATGACTTTTTTTGCATAGGCTTTACAATTCTAGAAAAAAAAATAATCAATTACCTACTGGAACCTATCTGGAAGTATCAAAGTTACTCCAAGAAGATGTATTCTATCTGCTATCATCCACCCTATTAGCCAATCAATTTCATATGTGTGGTTCATTACACAATAAGCATGTTCTTTTCCATAATATTTATCAAAGTCTGCTCTGTCTACATAGAAAATTATTCTTGAGTTTGACCACCAGTCTCCTAGGAATACTAATTCTGGAAAATTAAAAACATAGTTAGCACATTTGAACTTAACAAAATATGAGTTTAACTTACGTGAGTATATTGTACAGCAGAGATACCAGTTTATTTTTCTATAAAGAACTTTGTTGAAGGGTCTGAGGGTTAAATATAGCAAACATTGAATGGAGTTCACTATCACACCAGAGGTGAAGAAAGCAATGCCCATACACAAATGAACTATCCTTGACCTTTTCAGTAGTTCCAAATTCGAGAGATCCATCGTATTTGAGGACAACTGTTGACACAAGAAAACAAAACTTTGAAATACTTCCCACTAATGGTGACTAATGATAAAAAATACTGTCTGTACGAGGACTATAGGAACAATGGTTGAAATAAGATAAAGAAACTGACTGGAGAATAGGAACTATTTTCTATTTATAGTGATGTTTACATATTATTTCAACAGTGAATACACTACAAAACTCAAACCTTCGTTTTCTTCTTTGGAGATAACACCCAACAAATAAGGTAGTATGATATGGATTATTAGAATGCGGTTCCAAGTTCCAATTAATTTATAATGAACTATCATGAATTACGATTACCAACGCTATTGTTTTCGTTTTTATCATTATCATTTGCATATTTGCAAATCTCACGTCAAAGTTCGAAGTGTGATTTGAAAAATACGAAAACGTCAAACGGCAAAAACAAACAAAAGTAAAAAATTATGACTTATCATGACATGGGACATAATTATATTGACGTGTCTTTGACGGATTTTTGACAATTGATGACAGTGAGTTATAGCAAACACTGGAATGCTGTGTTTGGGAATTAGAGAAACACTGGAATAACTACACACATGTAAAAAAAAACAGCGTATAAAATAATGTATATTTACGGTGAAAAAAACGTATCGATGCGAACGTTACTATGGTACGGAATAAATAATATTATGTATAAAGAGCGTAACCGTAGCGTGGTAAGTGGGATCCCGAGCGATAGCGAGGGCTTTAGGGCTTCGGAGCTATGAACATTCAACACGCACGACAAAGTCCATGAAATCATCATTATGAATGCCTCTGCTTATTCACCTCTCACGAACAATAGAAATACACATCATCGCTGCAGTGAGGAATATCATATTGATTCTTGATTCATCATTGATCTATGATGGAATAAGGATGATGGAATCATACGTTACCATGGCAACTCAATTTTTTGAAATAGAAGTATAGGCTATGCTATTATATTTGCTGTTAATTGATGTCATCACAGATATATAACGTATTTTGGAGACGCGATCATATAATTTTTAATCTCAGAAATATCACCTGTATTATTCGATAGGGAACCATCACAACTAAAACATAAATGCCCTGAAGCCCTGAAGTTACCTTCCAGGTATACGCCGGGAGGTAAAGTAGTCAGCGGGCGGTAAAGTCTAACTTTATACGCCCGCTAAACGAGGCGGTGAAGAGTGCTCTACTTTTTACGCCTGGTCGTGCATACATGTTTATTGCGTTTTAGAATATCTCACACTATTCCATGAGGGGTCCTTATTTTCAGGTACTATATCTGAATCCGAGAGATTTCCCATACATATATATTTTCCCGGACACCCTCTATTGTGTGATATGATGCGAATAGACTGCTAGACCACTCAGATATTATGAAAGTTATAAAACAAAATATCTATAGGTACCTCTGTGCCCTATGCCTACAAATTATACCTACTTATATCATTTCTGGTTTAATTAAACCTCGATAATAAACGTAATAATCATGCATTTACTTCTTTGAGTGAAAGTTTTTTCTTATAAAAGTGGCCTGATAGTGGCTTAACCACGTTATACTATGTTATACATGTACTTACCTAACTTGTTTCTTCTTCGCACATGAGCGTTTCGAATTTGTTTGTTAGAGGTGCAGGTATATGTATACAAGGTGTATTTAAATCAATTTTTTGAAAAACCTTTCTTCGGAAAAGTTACACAACCCTAGCTTCGAAAATTAAAATAATATGTTTTTTTTTTAATTTTCCATGTATGTTTAGCTAAATACACTAAACATGGTTAATATCATTTTTTGTCAATAAAACTACACATACACTATACCTTATTGTGACCCACACTCCTTATAGAAAAACCCCTGTATCTTACGTAATCGTTGGGTAAGGATCCTGAAATTTGCTGGAGCGAGAGATATACCAAAAATGCACTCTCTGACCAAGTGGGGTCATCTTCAGTGATATATATACTGCTCGCCAACAGTCATGGAACCACCCCAATTTCCGGAAAATGATATTAGGAGTAAAAATAGGTTGGGAATCACTTCGGATTCGGAATCAGGACGCCCAATTCACTAACTATTTATAGTTTTACTAGAGAATGTTCAGTTCAGAAAAATCAAATTTTGTCTCACTTTTCATGCAAACACCCCCGTATCTCACGTAATTATTGAGGTAGAGTTCTGAAATTCGCAGGAGGAAGGGGACAAAATTTAATTTTTCAGAACTGAAAATTTTCCAGGAAAAATATGAATTGTTAGTGAATTGGGCGTCCTGAACGATTCCTAATCTGAAGTGATTTTCGACCTATTTTGACTCCTAATCTCATTTTCCGGAGATTGGGGTTGTTCCATGGCTGTTGGTGAGCTGTGTATATCACTGAAGATGACCCCACTTGGTCATAGAGTGCATTTTTGATATATCTCTCGCTCCAGCATATTTCAGGATCCTTACCAAACGAACAAAGTAAAGTCATCGTCCACCAATATCCTAATGTGAAGTAGCGTGAGGTATTGCTTCTATCTACTTAGCTATATTATAATAATAAAGGTATTATAATAATCTGTCAAGTAAGTCGCATTGGTAGTTATTTCACATATTTATTTCAGTTGATTCTTTTGGTTGCAGAAAAAATAGCACGTTTCATTCGGATCACAAGTGACTTTGTTTGATTCGCAAATTTTGCTTCCGCTCGGCTTCGCTAGACGCCCTGCGTCAGCCCTTATTAATTCATTTCTACGACATGACCTTTCCGGACACCCTGTATATTCATCCTTCCCATCTTCCATTTCCATCGATTATGAAATACGAACTATAGTGTAGGTGAAATTCGAATAAAAAACAAGGCACGGTTGTGCAATTTTTGCTGCGGATTGCTTCTGCAATTGACTTGACATTCTTCGCGCCGATCTTCTAGTGTACGGTACAAAACAGTTCTTCCGTGAAAAGCACCAATAGCAGACATGCGTAACTGTTTGTATGGAGTTTATTTGGTATTTTTGAGTCTCGGAATAGAAACAGCAGAAGTGAGTTTAAAAAAACTATAAGGTGGCTAAAAAATTCTCTATCTCATTCCTCTCTATAACTTTATTGTTTCTCAGTCAACTTTGATTTGAATTTTTTTCAAAACACCCTGTAATATTCAATTATACTATCCACATCACATATTTTCTAGCTTGGTTTGGATTTGATTAAGTTTTTTGTTCTTATTTTGTTTCATTGAATTCAATATGGTCGGTCAAGTTTCTTTCTTGAATTCTATCCATTTGAATTTAAGCATAAATATTAAATTGTTAAACTTGGCATTGCAATATTTTCATGATGTATAATCAACAAACATGTCATTTTCTGTAATTTGTTTTTCGGTCATTCGAATAATTATTATTTATTCCCAACCACTCATTTATTATTTTTGTTTTGAATTTCTTTCCTGATAATCAAATTAGGTTCAGGATCTCGAAATGTTCAAAGAGGTAAAAAGTTAATCAAAACAACCACACTATAATATTTGGCAAATGCATATACAGGGTGTCCCGAAATTACAGGGACATGGAAACCGTTTTGGCCAATAATGAATAGTTTCGACCCAAAAGATTCCTAAAGTTGAAAGAATCCCAATTTATCACACCCTATATCTCTGTAATCATTTCAGCTAGACCTCAACTAGGATAAATCGATAAAATCAGCTCCTCAGGGAGAATCTAAAAATGCAATAAAATACAGGGTGTTCCAATTAAAAATGTATACATCTTGTATCTTGCCCAGGAAAAATTATAAAAGACTGTTCTTCGGAAAAAAAATCGATGATAAATAAAATAGTTAAGGCAGGTTAAGGGATTCAAAATATACGTGAAGACCCTGTACCTACTGTAATATTTTTGAAATTATTCTTTTTATTGTTCCTCTCATATTTTGAGTCGAACATCACAAGTAGATAAGTAATGTAAAAAGGGTATTTTCCATCGAAAAATAATTGTTGGGAAAATTTTGGTACCCTATTATAATTTTTCCTTATAATGATAAATAAAATAGTTAAGGGGGGTTCAAAATATACGTGAAGACCCTGTACCCTATTAAGAAAAAGTACTATTATGTCGAAAATGGCGGATGCTATTAAAACAGAACAAGAGTATAATTTTTAAGTAAAAATGATATTTTCATGATTCCTGGTCAAGCTGCCGAAGATTGCATAGGAAAAAAAATCGTGGAAAGAAATACCCGTAGCCTCACTATTTTCCACAGTCCTGATCAAAATTCCGGAAAATTCTTTACATTTCCAAATCGGGCATGAAAAGTTATATACATGTACAAAATATTTCTCTATAATTTCGGAACACCCTGATATCCTTATATATATTCAGCGAGATAGTATAATCTTCATTTTCTTGATTGGTTGATTTCAGATTTTCGAATAGGTAGGTATATTTTTGTATTTGATTGTTTTTTATCCAGTCTCAAGAATTTCAAATGTTATTGAATTCATCAAAGATAAAGATCTGTCGTTGATTTGAGATCTCAATAATATCTTATAAATTCACGAGATTTTTTTTCAGGTCTATAAGAACCTGACGAACAAATGCGATATACCTCCTTCAGCGCCAAAAAAAATCGAGGAAGTGATAAACAGGTGCCAGGATGAAATTAAGTTAGCAATATTATCAGGTAGGTTTCTAGCTATATTCATTCACTCAATTCAGCCCAAATATGTTTTATGTATAGGCTTTGTTACTGACGCCATAGGAATTCAGAAGTAATAACTCGTTTCAAAAAACAAAAAGCATGCTCTTCCGTTGAGTTCTTCAATTTGTAGGTTCTCATTTTCGCTGACGAACCAGTGAAAATATAAAATATGTGGAAAGAATGAAGAATCGATATTACATCAATATTGCATCGAAATAACATTTGATTTATACGTAAATTCATCTAACCATTTCATTATCTGAATGACAAAAATTTTCTTTTTTTTTTCAGAGGCGTTAGAATCATTGAATATCAATGAGCACACCCATAGCCGTGCCAAAAGGGCAGCTTTCTCAGACGATGAAAGAAAAATTGCAGGGGTAAGTAAATTTTTCTTGATATATATCTCGTCCATTTTGAATTATAGTGAGAATTCGACAATTGAAATAACATAAAATCTTCCAAGGAGTCCATATTGTAAAAGAATAGAAGGAAAAAGAATTGATAATAAATTTACAAGTCAACCAGAAATTTGCGAAATAAATTAATAGTGAGAATTTGATGTTTTCAAATTTCGTCGGTTCCTACAGATTTATTTGGGACGCGTGAAAATCAAATGCCCAACTATACCGGGTGGCCATGAGAACCCTGTAACTTTTGAATCGTTCGAGATGAAATTTTGAAATTTGGAGGGTTTATATAACGTCATATTTTGCATTCATTGATATGATTTTGTTTTTCGAGTCACTTCCGGATCCGACGGAAATGACCTCAACTTTTTCGGGTGTAATTTTTCTTAGCGTCAATTTTTCATTTGATTGTTGGAATAGTTTCTAGGTGGCTGTTAATGCCATAAATTCTTGATGTTTCAATTCCTATTCAAGGACAAAATTCAAATCATACTATCCCACAACTATCTTGACTGAAATCGGCACTCCTATAGTGATAATAAATGATTTTTCTAGAATAACTTTGCGTTTCAAATGGAATGATGGTGGGCCATGTAATTTTTTTCGAAGAAATATGCTTCAACTAATTAATTTATACCACATTTTTCAATACCCGATTGATAATCGAAACACAGAGAGTATAAAATTAAAATAAATTTTAAAAGAGAGAGATTATGATGAGTCTAGTTGGCCATGATGTTTTTCTGTAAAAATCAGGCCCGGACAGGACCGGTTTCAAACCGGGGCTATAGAGTATGCAGTACAAAACTAATACAAAATATAAGAATCAACTGATAAAATAAATATATTGAGATATCAATTATTACATGTGTAACATATTATTCTCTTCTGGCTGTGTTCTACACAAAACAAACTGTCCGCAAATCTTACATTTGTTACGGGTTTTCTACTCATTTTTCCGAGGACAAAGAGTACAACGTCCGGATGTCCTTACACCTGCTGGAACTACTGAACGACTTTCTAACTCAGGAATGACCGTATCCATATGGTCACGCGAACACACAATTAACCAAGCAGATTGGTATTCACACTATGAGAGTCGAAATCAAGGTAAGCGAAAGAGATCCTACGAATCTGACTTCGAAAAAAGACAGGAATCAACTTGTCTGTTACAAATTTCCGCCGGGTACGTACATTACTCAATGTGGTATTTTTGTTCCCCATCTACTTTGAACGTCTGAAAATACTGAATGGCATGGTGTTTTTCTGAGCAAGTGAGCACTCCCATCTGTACATTGAAATTTATCGCCGCGATAGATCGGTGTTATCTGGGTATTGAAGATACAGTAAAACTGAAAATACCTTTCCATAGCAACTTTTTCGTAGAACCATACATTTTTTTAATACGGTCCTGACGTGCCCTGATTGTGCGTTCACAGATTCTGGAAGGTTTTTTCAGGATACTAGTTATACAATCATGTATTATACAAATTAGTTTGAATACGTTTCGCCTCAATTTTAGCCATCATCAATGTCACTTAGAGATTCCGAAGAAAAATATCATGAGTTTCACTCAATTCTGATCGATTTTCAAAGCCTACTCTTTAGTAACACATACCTCATTATTTTACTACCTACATATAGCATATTGATTGTATTGATCTATTTGATCGAACGAATTATTTCATTATTAAACTTAGGAGAGCAAAAATATTTGTATTTGTATATACATTAGAAGGAACTTATCATAGGTGATGAGATTTTTTAAAGTAATCCTGATAATTAGAACCAGTCAATCAATAATGTATAAGTGTGTCGCTTTTCTTCACAATAAATGATATTGATCATAATTTTTCTTTGAAATTTCTAAAAAACATTGATGATGCTATAACTTGGTCAAAAAACATTCAAACCACTCTGTATAATACTTAGTTGTATTCAGAGGTACAAGAATCTGTGAACACGTAATCAGGACCGTAGAGATAAAAATAAACATAAATCTAAAATATTTTCAGATTTGACATACTCTAATGACAAAAAAACAGAATTAAACTTTTGTCGATATAACTGAAAAACTAAATGATTTTGAAAACTTTCGATGCGTAACTTTTGCCCCACTTAACCGATCATAATTTGTATCATCACATAGATTAGCGACTCTCAATCTATGATCATGATAATGAAATCACGATTATTTATACCCAAGAAAACCGACCTGATAATTAGGGTCCGGTCAAATAAGAAAATATCCGGTAGCAAAATTGTAGCCAGTCCGGGCCTGGTAAAAATCATACAACATTCAAATTATATGTATGTAAAATAATCTCCTGAATCTATGAAAATATACAGGGTGTATGTGTAATCAGTGACTAGGAAATAAGATGTTATTTGAACCCTCCAAATTTTATAATTCTATCTCAAGTTACTCAGAAGGCACGCCATACTTTGTACTTATAATACATCCCATACTTTATCCAATTTGATGTAAGGGATTGATGATATTGAGTTATATCAGTAGGTTTATAATCCCAATTTTTTTCATTCCAGTGCCTTCTACAATGCGTCTACAGAAAAATGAATGCGGTGAGTTTTGATCTCCTATTTTTCAGTTATGCGGTTATTTCGATATGAAAGCCCAATCAAGAATGTGAAAGGCCAACTGGTTTTTGCTGTTGAAATAATTTCCCTAGCAATGAAAGCATTGGGCCTGTCACAATTCCTTGTTTATTGGGTATTTTTTGGATGTTAGGGATGGGAACTTTAATTCGAAAATTGAAAATATATGTATATGTCGGTGTTTAATCAGAAACTGAAGACACGACAGGACGCCTGCGTTATAGACGTTATGATATATATGTTATTATGTCATATTAGAGTTCATATATAGTGCATGGATTGAAAAACTCAACTATAATGACAATTTCACTCATCACATAATCTGAACCTGAGCAATCACAAGCCAGAGACAATATGTTCTTATCCCGAAAACATGAGCTGTCTTTCAATTCTGATTGGTCAATCAGCGTTCATGTTTTCAACGATGTAACCATGGTTAGCGAAGCAAAGTTTGGATGTAAACATGGATAGCAAAGTCTGTCAGTTTGGCATACAATTATGGCTGTACTTGTCAGAATGAATCACTCATTTATAATGAAGTCTTTTCATGTTTCTTGAATGTGAAATAGTCTAGCAAAATACCACTGCAGCAACACAATTTCGTGAACAATGAAGCGACAAAATTATCTCGAATATTCAGAATATCGTGATATTGCAGTTACAATAGGAGAATAGATCAAAACTACTTACCAGTTTTCAAGGATAACCGATTTTATCGTATTATTGATTATTAATGGTAAACTGAGAAATAAATTAGCCAAGCTACCTGTGTTCACTCAGACCGATGGAATAAGAATCTAATCTAATCTGTAATAATGCTTTACAACTTTGATCCCCAACATACTTGTTGATTGTCATTTTCATTTTTCAATGATGTAATCATAATAAATTATTGATACAGGATTAAATTTTGCTAATTATCATTGCTTCTGAAGTAGGTAATCGTTATCTGTTCTCTTTACAAAGCATGAGTTTTGAAGGAGAAAATAAAGGGTTATTAACATATATATAGAAATATGAACTGGCGCAATTTTTATTATTTCTAATTCTAGATTTGATGGGGCTTTGTCAAATGATGATGATAGTATTGGCAAAAAAACACGTTTGCAAAATACATAGATACTTCCGGTGCTTTTGACCTGCATAGAGTTTCAGACCAACTTAAAAATCTTATAAATTATACAAAATCTTTCTTTCTGTGCTTCAATTTCGTGTTTTTTCCTTCTTATTTAACGCTCCAATTTTGGTAACACCCTGTACCTATATCTCCAGTCGCAATTATTCATCGTTCGGGGAATTAATATACAGGATATAACTTTTTTGAAAACATGCTAAATTTATTTTTACTCGAATACGGCGGATCACTCTGTATTTTTTGGAAGTGGAAAAATGCGGAGACATATATTGGCGTTTTCGCTGTGAAATGACCTAGCCCATAAAAATTTAAAAATGGAATGAGGTCAATTTAAACAAGCGTTAAATGAACTAAATTTTGATGTCTTTGATAATTCTAAGGCATAAAACCTCAAGGTAAGTAGAAGAGATTCTGTAGTCTATGATAAAACCTAGTATTTTCATTAAACATTTTCTAAAAGATCTAACCCACAAAACATGTCAGTGAATTGATCTCGTGGTACCTATATAGAAGAGAAGTGGCAACTTTGACATAATAAAATCGTCTGTAATAACAGATCAATACCATTGAACTTGATACATTATGCATTCAGATCTTTTCACTATTTTCAAATACATTTACGTTTATTTATCGAAATTAAGTGCGCGAAGAGACTTAAGCCACGAAGTTTTTCAATTTTAAAGAATACCTATGATTTGTTATATCATCAGGATCAAAACAAAACCAAGTTCCATATCATGTGGTATTAAAATAGTATCACCAATACGATGAAAAAAAGCCACTTTTTCGGCATCAATAATATATTGAAACTGAGGAAACCTCAATCGTGTTAGGTCACTTCACAACGATATATTTCTATATTTTCCACTGTATATGTACCTAATAATTGATAGGTGAAAAAGATGTATAACTACATTAACTACTACCGATATTCAATTTCTCTATTGATATCGAATTATGTAACATTTCTTATATCGATAACAACTTGTGTTCACCTCTTTAGATAATATAGGTACTTGCATGAAGCTATAAATAAAAATTAAAACTTTCACGAGCATTTCTCCAATGAATAACATGAAAGTGTTAGATAATACACACAACTATGTAACCACAGTTATTTTCCTACTAAAAAGGATAAGGATACCGGAGGGAAAACATCTTGTCCGAAATATTCATTACTCCAGTTGATAAATGATGAAAAACAAAACAAAATTCAAACAATATGAACTTTTGTCACAAAATGCACACCATTGAGGTATACGTTCCTTCCCCACTGAAATTGGGTTTTCTATACTCACGTAACACCAGAGGTAACACGTAAGCAGAGATTATACACTCCCCATAATCTCTGACGTAAGTTTTGAGATAAAAAATTAGTGAAGCGCCTAACAGGGACGACCCAAAAGAACATTTTGCCAACTCATTTTTTTTTTCATTCATTTCATTTTTTCCAAATTCGAAATTCCGAACTCTTTGAACTGGGCATACGACTGGGATACAAGAAATTTAACTACGAGTATGAAATTCAGAGTACGCAATTGGGAATCCTGGGTTCTACAACAATTCATGGAATATGTGTATTCTCTAATCTGTGGTAGTATGTACAGTATTTCTTCCCTTTTGAGATTGAAACCCTGTAACTGGGAATTTCATTTTCCGAATTGAAACTTGATATTTCCAACTAAAGATTCTGAATTAAATTTTTTCGACTTCATCAAGCTTTGCACTCTCTACTCATCTGTTGGAAATTCCTAGTTTGAACTGGAAATGTATAATTTTCCTTCATGTATGAACTTGGAAATTCCGACATCAAAATAGAGATCCTATGTTCTTGAAATTGGAAATCCCTAGTTTGAACTAGTACAGGAAATCCGTAATTTGGAGTCAGAAAAAACAAATATTTACCATAAAACGTTTTCTTCTCGTGGAACTTTCCCAACCTGAATTTGCCAACTCGCCTATTATTGGGTGCGATTTCTCACCGTATGTAGTGGAAACACCCTGTATTTTGTATTATACTCAATCCAGTGTAATTTCTGCTCTGAAAATTTCTTTCATCTTGTCACAAGTGAATGATGAAACATCATCGTTTTGGGATTCTCTACGTATTCAGTTTCATCAAATTATAAAAAATAGGCGAATTCAAACACTATGATAAAATCTCTACTGTAGAAGTCTATGTTATCTCAAAGTGCAGTGAAGTAGTTGAAATATAATAAAAAAGAACTCTCCAAGTCGTCTCCACAACGTATAATTTCAAATTCAAGAAGGGGGGGGGACATTTTTCGGACCCAAAAGGTATCCATCATCAGCCAGAAAGAAATTATATTGTGGAGAAGAAAAAAGCAAAAATATGGTCATAATGAGCATGGTTAAATGGTCAATAGATCATGTTTATATTTATTTATTCAGTTATTTATTTATTCATTTGTTTATTTAGTTATTTGAAACTATAAACATGTTCTATTATCTACTCAACCATGCTCATTATGACCATGTTTTTGCATTTTTCTTTTCCACAATAATTTCTTTCTGACTGATGATGGAATCCTTTTGGGTCCAAAACATGCCCCCCTTTTCTTGAATTTTAAATTAAACGTTGTGGAGACGACTTGGAGAGTTTTTATTAAATTTTAACTATGATCAAAATAAGAAAGGAAATAAAAATTAGATAGAGATAGACGTAGGTAATGCGATATTTACCTATCAGAATTTTTAAGAATTTGACCGCAGTTGATTATATATTTCATATATATGCCCTTGACTCTGTCCAACCCTAGAGGTGTATGTTGAATTTTTTTTAGGTGAATGAGAAAGGATTTCCCACTGCAGATGGCCTTGTATCTCTTTACACAGATGGGATCTCTCAAAAAGATTATGTTTTGGCCACAGTCGATGCTGTCAACTATTGCCTCAACTTTGCTCAAAAGAAGTTCAGGGTCAGCCCTAACTCAATAGAGGGTAAGAAAATTGTTAGAAGGGTTCATATTAGATTGTGGCAAAAAAAACAAAAACTATACCGTCTGATTTTTGTCTGCCCCTTTGATTACAACACCTACTTACCTTCAGTTTCAATAAAGCAAAAGTAGCTAAAAACAAAAGATGTAGCTGTCGGTGCATACCTAAACAGTGTGTCCATTTAGTGCGTAATTCTTCGATATCTCGAAAGCCATAACCTATAGAGAAAAACTTTGGAGAAAAAACTTGTTCAGTTACTAGAGTTGCTCATTTCAAAATTATTTTCAATATTACTGGGTGCTTTATAAAAGCAGGGCAACTCGAAGAAGAGTTTTTTAAATGGAACACCCAGTATTGTTCATTCGGAATTAATTCCGCCGAGGTCCACCTTCACATCGCTGTAAAAAAAAATGAAATCGGTTGCGGCGTTGCCAAGTTATAATAATTGATGAATCTATTTTTACCATAATTGAAGAGTCATGTTGAATTGGGCATGGTATATTCATTTATTCAAATTTTGAAAATATTTTTGGCATACGGTAGAAGCAATAAGGTCCAACGTATCAATCCAGTAATTTTTCGACATGTTCTTCAACAGGGTGCTCAATTCTGCATTTAGAATTTTGCAAGATTCAGATGACATTCATCAGAATTTTTCGAATGGAACACCCTGTATTTTCATTCAAAAATTCATTCCGACATCTTTCGTCTTTTTATTGCTGGAAAAAAACCCGGAATCGGTTGCGGCGTTATCAAGTTATGGTTGATCTCCTTATTTTTACTACTATTTCGGGGTAATTTGTACGTCATAGTTCTGTCATTTATTTGTATTGTGGAAATATTGCGATCTTTGCTACGGTATAATCAAATTGGTTCATTGACCATTCATATATTTTTTTACAAAAGGAACATTTACAGGCTGTCCAAGTTTGAATTTTTTCAAAATATTTGTGTAATGACCTGTCAAACATCGCCACTATCAAATATATATCTTGGATTGATTCGACATTCTGCTGAATTCCCTCCCAAAAGCCGCGTAGTAGAGACATATTGTTTGTATCATTATGTTTACCTTCTTCAAGTTAAATGGAGATTTGGATTGTGGAAATAACGACAATAAAAATGGCCCAAATTTCAAAAAGTTGTCCTAATTTTCGCAATCCGCATCTTCATTGTTTGTATTGTAGAAGTTATTTCAAAGACAGGCGTTGCTTTTGGCATGTTTGTTTGTTTCACATATTATTTGAATCATAAGTAACAGAATTACGGAATATTTCAAATTTGAACGATGCACATATCACAAAAATACCTGAATGATCTATGTAGAACCTCGAATGTCATGTGGCAAGCAATATTTCCACACTCAAATCAAATTAAGGAACCATCATGACGTACAAAGTTTTTCTCTTGTGATAATAATTGATTTCGAGATATCGAAGAATAACGCACTAAATGGACACACTATATCTTGGACACCGATTTTTTTTATTCTCCGAATTACTAATTCCACCTCTATCTTACTTTCAATCAAATTATTTTGTCGCTTATTGTGTTTATTGAATTGGAATATATCTCATGGACAGCACATTAGGTAATCCTCATTTTGAATACATAATCTTGTTGAAATTTCATAATGTCAACTGACACGTGACCCCAATTTCTCAATTTTTAATTGCTAAGCTACTCTTCAAATTATCATCATTCATTTCATATTTTTTTCTTTTCCAGTACAAGGAATGACTTGCGATATTGCCTACGATGTTTTCGACTGTGTTTCTGATGAAATTGCTAACTACTGTGGTCAAACCCCATAGGAGGAGGTGTAGAAAGATTCTAGATGTATTTCTGAACTAGTCCTTATTACCATACAAGGTGTTTCATTAATATTACACGAAACTTCAAGGTCAAATTCTCAGGGTCGAAATAAGATGAGAAGTTTATACATATTGTCCCAGAACAACGTACCATAAATTCTACAGGGTGAACTAGAAACCAAAATAGGCCAGATTGAAATCAACTTACCTCTATACGAAAATACACGGTAGAGCAGCGACAAGGCGTTAAAGAAAAATTTTATTTTTAGATTTCCTTGAATATTTTAAGATCCACGGAGGGTACTGCTATGAAATCCATAAGGCATTTCACCACCGTGAATGTATATCGATTTGATCAATATGCCGGGAAATAAGTAATTCGCATTCTGTTTGATGAAAATGCATGTAACTTTTTTGGTGTACGCCACTGATCACACTTTTGAATTCTGATAAATGACGAAATCAATTATCCAACTTTCTTCTTACTGTAGTTTTTTATAATTTTCCTTGGTTTTCGAGATATCTTACATAATTAATTTTGATGCTCCTCAATAACACTTGTTTATGATGTCTCAGGATTATCATTTTTTGCAAGTTTCTACCTCATTTGTTTCGAGTTCTTGACCACAGTTACCATGTTTATGAACTTCTTTATCATATGATAAGGTTTTTGGTCATCTTCAATATTTTTTTCTTGAATAATGTTTTTTGCGAAAAAAGAATGAATAAAATTTGGAAAACCAGCTCTCCCAGATCATATGATGAGGGGGAGGTTGCGAAATGGTGAACATGATGATTTATTGTGGTCATTGATCAAAAAATAAATGATGCGAAACATAATAGATAATCCTGATATATTATGAACAAGTGTGGAGAAGCATCAAAATGAGTTTCGTTAGATATCCCAAAAACCAAGAAGATTTCTATAAAACCTGCGGTTAGAAAAAAGTTAGATAATTCATTTCGTATGGTTCATTTCAATGCGAAATATATATCTCGCTGTATATTGGTTAAATTTGTATGCCATTATTTTCATGCACCATCAATCGAAAATATTCAGAAAGATTGTAGATTGTAGATGGGTCGTATAGGCTGGGAGACCTCTCCATCACTGTGACCTAGAAGATCTATTGTGATTACCCTTATCTAGTTTTGGTCCTCTAACCCTAGGCAAAAATATGCCACAAAGGTTATATACCTACATTATCAAAAATTTTTCCGATTTTACTGAAAAATTTTTTCAAGAAACTTGAACACCTTGTATTTCGAAAACGAATCGTTGTTTTTTTATTTCAAACCAAAGTATCGTCGAAGGAATCAGACCTCGGAATTTTGTGCAACATCAATGAAACACCCCGTAATTGAATAGCTATTGAGATTTGAAAATATCTAGCTGGGAAAATGTAGCTCATGATTTATTGTTATGACGATATTTTTATAGGGTGGTTCAGATTTTTGTACGCACTGTATAATAGATAATGATATTCATATGGAGACGATGAAAATATGTGAAAAATTGAATTTGTGAGTTTGATACTTCTAATTTTTCATAACTGGTGAAAAAAATTCAATTTTCAAACATGCTGATTGATTGTCTAGAAAAATTGTATAAGTTACAGATTTATTTATTATACATTGATTTGTTTTAATTTCTCATAATTATGTAGATTGTAGATTGTAGATGGGTCGTATAGGCTGGTAGACCTCTCGATCACTGCGACCTAGAAGATCTATTGTGATTACACTGATTACCCCTATCTAGTTTTGGTCCCCTAACCCTAGACTTCTGATGAAGCCTACAATTTTCCTGACGGTTGAATTTTCCACCTCAGCAGGGGTGAGATAGACCCGAGGGGTAAGTACATGGGGCAATCCGGTGTACAACTTAGGGGTATTGCGGGGCAATGCCAGGCAGTGTGGGGCATTGCGGGGCAATGCGAGGCATTGTCGGGCACTGCAGGGTATTGATGGGCATTGCAAGGTATTGTGAGGCATTGTTTGGCAATGCGGGGTATCGAAATAGCACTGAAAGGGCAATGTGGAATAATATTTGGGCTTAATTTGTTGCGCGCGCATCGGTTTCTGTTCGAGGTCACTATATTCAGTTCTATGGTTCAAGGTGATGCCTCCGCCTACATTTTGATTGCGCCATTCAAGCGTCATGCTATCATCAACTCCAGTTACAGCTAGCTTTGGATTGGATTGGTCCATATGTGAAAGTCACTTTGGAAAATTATAATATGATTATAATAAAAAAATCATCATTATGCTGGCTTCTTAATGAGGGGTAGGGACGGATCAGTAACGATCGCATACAGCGTTTCAATTCTATATCCTAGATATGTCCAAAAAAGAAAGTCAAAAATACCTGCTGACAATTCAAAAACTAAGAAAAAGATAACTGAATGTATCGGAGATTCTTCAGAAGAAGAAAATGAACCAGATATCGTTTCAGACGATTCCACAGATATGGAGTCATTCTACTCTTTGGGAGGAGATCCAGAAGAAGATAGGATGATGAAAAAACTTGACGTTTTCGATACTGAAATAGATAAATAGATAATTTCTATGCAGTGGTATTTGATAAAAACTGGTATCTGGGACTGGTAATGAAAAAGAACCATGACAGATTCGGAAATATATACCAAAAGAATGTATTTTTCACGGACCACTTGTACTTGGGGAAAATTCTCCGTTTCTCCTGAAAAGAGCGGATAATGTGAACATTTCCAATCTTTATTTGGAGTCGAAAAAAATGTATATCCAGAGTGATATGCTTCAACAAAATATATATTCAGGTTCAAGCTGTTTTTGGTTCAAGAAAATCTCAACTTTGTTCTAGTTTCAAGAAAGAATTCAGAGAGAGTTTTCTAATAACTAAGTATAAACTTAAAAAAATGTTCGATTTTAGTCGAGATTCTAGTACTGTTACCTATAATACCTGGACTTATATGCCCAGTGTTCCTGTTACCAAACTATGATCTCTGAATTAATGTGATACTGTCTGAAGAAGTACCTTTAGGAATAACTACTTAGTTATCAAGTATAGGGAAAAAAATTTTCGTCTTGAGTCTTAAGTTGTTTTTGCGAAAAGGCGTGTCTTTCTATGTTTGTTTCATGTTCGACTGCTTGTTATGTGTAATTTCTTAATAAAATATGTATAATTATTCATTATTCCTCGTCCCATCAGATTATTGATTCACTAAGACATTGAAATGAATTTGAACTATGTAAAAGACATAAGTCAGTTTGTCTGTCTCTCTTCAACACATGGAATGAAAAGAGATAGTTATATAGTGCACTAGGGGCATTGTTGGGCATTGGGGGGCATTGTTGGGCATTGCGGGGGCAATGTTGGGCATTGGAGGGCAATGTTGGGCAATGCGGGGTATTGTTGACTGAAGAATGGGCATTGCAGGGTAATTTAGTTGAATTGAGGCATTCATTACCCCTTGGTGTACAAAAAATGGCTAAGCACTTACCCCTCGGATAGACCTGTTCTAGGTGATTCAGCCTTTGGCGGACGAATACTTCATATGAGCAAAGTATGTGTTCCGCGGTTTCGGTCGCATTGTTACAAAAGCGGCAAGTGTCAGTCTCCGCCAGGCCCATCTTTTTGAGGTGGTACCTCAGAGGGCCGTGTCCTGTGAGAAAGCCTGTGATAAGCTTTAGCTCTGGTTTGCTGAGGCTGAGTAGCTCTTTGGCTCGGTTCTGCGAATGGTTGATGAACCTTTTCGCTTGTCGTTGGACCTGGAGTTGCTCTCCAGTAGGAGAATTTTTCATTTTCTTCCCATTCCCTGAGTTCTTCCTTTAGGTGACATTTGCTTATCCCACAAAAAGGCTCAGGACCAAAAAGTGCAGATGCTGCACCTTTTTCCGCAAGGCGATCAGCTGCCTCATTTCCTTTGATTCCTTCATGCCCTGGAACCCACATAAGTGTGACTTTGTTGTCCTTCCCCAGTTGCATGAGTGTTTCAAAGCTGTCCCATGTGATCTTTGATGTGAAAACGAATGATTTAAGGGCTTTTAGTGCGGCTTGGCTGTCTGAGCAGATATATATGTTGGCACCCATCAGACCTTTGCAGGCACCTTTGGGCGCAAAGGTTGATGTCATGTATTTCAGCTTGGAAGATAGTGGGGGAGTGACCTGAGGCTTCGAATAGCCTACATCCGGGTCCATATACACCCGCGCCTACCCCTTCTTCCATTTTCGAACCATCGGTGTACCAAACAAGGGACCCGTCCAGCTGAAGCTCAGCGGAATAACCGTACCTAGGGCGGCTTTTTATAACCACTTCAAAGGTATGATCGAAACTGAGCCTGGCTGGCATTTTGTCCGATGGTTTGGTTGCAAATTCCATTTGTACTTCTTGTAAAATGACCATGTGACCAGTGACATCACCTGGTCTGGCCAATTCAGTGGAGTTCAGTCTGTATGCACTGAGAGCTGCAGTCCTCTTGATAAAAATATGCAAGGGTAGTAGGTCAAGTACAGCTTCCATTGCTGCAGTAGGGCACGTACGCATAGCCCCTGTGATCCCAAGACACGCGAGTCTCTGGTATTTCTCATATTCTTATATACCAATTTTCAGAGCATATGTAGTCTTTTACTGCTTTTACAGTATAAAGTGCAGTTTTAACTGACTGTGCAACTTTACTATTACTTTACCTACTTCCATATAGAACATCAAAAAAGTTTGGACAAACAGTCTGAATTATGATTCTTGACAGTTATGTCATCCGCTGTTGACGGCGATTACGCGATCATGATCGGCGGATTTGCTTAGTGTGCGTAAGGAGCTACTTACTGAGGCTGCATCTCGTGCTGTGTTCTTACCTACTTTCTATAGTGGTCGTAGGAAAAATAGCTCAACTTTAACTATATGTTCCACTCGGTAATAATTATTTATATTTATATTTCATCCATTTGGGTATTTCTGCTTGAAAACCACACAAGATGTTAGGAGCTTGATGAACTGAGCTTCAGATTCCTTGGCAATACGTGTTCTTGAATAATCATTCCAAATTAACTCTTATCGAACAGAGGAACCGATATATACTTAACCCTCTGAATACAAAAATTTGGAAGTTCAAATGGCAGAGATTATACACTCGTTATGGGTAGTTCACATATTAAAATTATCGTACGAATAATGCAATTATCGTAATAGTAACTCTTTGTCGTTCATACCAAGAGAGATACATTTCTTGAAATGTTACAAAATGCATCCTACTTTGACGTTGTCAATCAAGCTGGTATATATGGCTTTTGTCTAGCAATACATAAAAAAATCAAGCTGAATTGTCATCCTGTGGGTAAAAACTTTGGCAAGAAAGCGATTATTCAAAGAAGTGCGTTGGTATAGTGATAAGTGATAAGATTCATGGAATGGGATGAAGAAGAACATGTATACAGTATGCAGCTGGAAATCATAGGATC